CCTTGTTCACAGAAACTAAATCAAAAACAAGGTGGCATATTATATCATCAATGGCTGATGCTAAAGAAGCACTGAAAACATTATTTGAGATAACAGTATCTAATAGAAAAAAACATTGTGCGTTAAAATTCGAACATAATGACATTATTGTAAATAAATTAAAAATAATATACTCATTTATTATCATTATTATTTTTCTGTATAATAATAAAATAAAACTTTTTTTAAGGAAAATTATGAGAAATTAAAAGCCCAAATAGAAAAATATGAACTTAGAGAGACAAATACTAAGTTAAGAAAAGATTGTTTAGGCTTAAGTACTAATAAAGATTCAAGTACTGATATTGAAAAAGATCAACAAATAGAAGAACTACAAAAACAAATTGAGTCGTACAAAGAACAAGTTTCTCATTTACAGGATAAGGTTACTTTCATATCATAAAATATTTCTATAATCGATGTATTAGTGATTACATTTAAAATTTCAATAATTATTTATTAAAAATTTAGGTATTAATAGAAACAAATACAAATATTATGAAAAAACCAAAGCCAATCAAACCCAAATCTACATTAGAAAATATTCATTATGATTCATTCAATTTAACAGATGATAGTATTATTGAAGACGATGATGAAAATGATCCAGATTGGAGGAAAACACCTTTATATAATAGAATTCAAAAGCTTGAAGTACAGTAAATTATTTTACTTTTAATTTTATAATAATATTTCGAATATTTATGTTCATAATTTCTAGTATTCAGCAAGAAATATCACTAGAGAAAGTAAGATAGGATTAAAACGATCATCAAATGGTGAAATCAAGTGCTCTTGTAAAACACAATGTTCTTCTCGATTGTGTACATGTCGAAAAAATGAAGTCTCGTGCGAAAATTGTAACTGTAATATTAACTTATGTCAAAACAGAAATGCCGATAATGTAAGTTAATGGATTTTCAATAATTTATATAAATAAATTGATAATGAGAATATATACGTTTCAGACTCGACGAACACTGTTTTCCGATTTAAAAGGACCCGTTGAAACAACTATTCCTACTGAAATGAAAAAGCAAAAGTAAGTTTACTAATAATTTATGAAATATAATAATTAATATTTTAATTATTAATTTCAGTATGATGAATATGGATAATTTTTTTACAGATTTGAAAATGAATTATAAAGAATAGCATAAGGCGGATTCAAGCATATTGTATAATTGTTACATTAATTTATAAAAATATTGAATACTTAAAAAAACTTCCATCAAAAAGGAAGAAAAAATATGCAACATTAATAATTAAGATTTTTAATATTGACTATCTTTGAAGAATTGATTTTTATTATTAATTGAATATAATTAGGCAATAATAATTAAACACTTGTGATTAAAATATGTTAATCTATTAAGTGCCTTTATTAATAAAAATGTATTAATATAAATACTTGATACTCAAAGTACTTATAACGATTACTAAATACAAAAATGGCTGTCCATAAGTTGTTAAAATAAGTTAGTGAGATTCAAATCCATTAATTTTTTCGAATTATTGTTTTTTTTTTTTTTTATATCTTATGTTAGAAAATGTAACTGTATTTTCAGTAAAATATTCATAATTTAATAATAAAATTTTATAAAATTACATAAATTACTTATCATTATTAATTAAATCTACTAAAAATTATAAATATATATATTTTCATATACTATTCAAATTTCTCTCTCTCTCTCTCTCTCTCTCTCTGTGAATTTTTTTAATATTGAATAAAATTATCTCTATGAATATAATTCTTAAATTATACATTAAGTTAATTATTTAAATTTTTTTTTCAATAGCTAAGCAAATATTTATATAAATGAAAATATTAAAGACACAATTGTGCAATGCTAAATTTAAAAAATATTACTTAGAAATGCATTAATTTTATTATTTAATATTTAATTTAGTATTAAATTTTTATTTCATTACGGATTTTGCCAATGGAGCAAGATTAAATTTATCTAAGATATTAAACTGATGTAAAAGAGCATTCTTTTTAATCCAGAATTTATTTATAATATTACAGTGATTAAATTTTTTTATTCTACTTAGCTGTAAGTCAATGGAAATATGATGAGAATGGAAATTGTATGACTTATGAAAAAGAATTTTCGAAAACTAATGCATGTAATTAAAAATATATTTAATGACATGGAGAAAAATATAGATAAATTTTATATTTGCTTTATCTTTATTATAATCGTGAGTTTTAATTATTCCGTAATATTTATGTAAGTCATTTACTAATCGTACTAATATAAATTCTAATAATATTCTAAAATAAATATAATTCTATATAAAATTGATTTTTAAATTAGAAAAAATATTATGCTTTAGTATTTCTATAAAACACCCTCGCATATGTATATTTATTTTGCAAATTAGTTGCAAGTCGTGTGTTGATAAATTAATATCATTCATCATATATTTTATATACTTCACAATAGGTTTCATTATAGAATTGTTTCATTAATAATCAGTGAAATGTTTTATTATAAAATTATTTTATCCATGTAAATTGTATGTATATCACGTTAATCTGCAGCGATAAGGCACACAAAGTATAAACATTAATATGCTATTGACCCTTGTATATAATCTTACATCAACTAATACAAACTATTAATTTCATGATTTTTTATAAAACCAAGGAAAATGGTAACTATAAATTAAATATTTGATACGTAATATAGACATTAAATGACTCAATTCGACAATGCTTTTACGAGAAGATTTTGAATGTATAATGTGTGGGTTTAAAATTATTTAACTCGATTATTTAAAAAAAAAAAACACTAGAACGTTCTAATTGAGTTATCAAATGAATTAAATAATTTAACTTTATTAATAGGAGCATTTTTATTGTATCCATTTTCAATTTTATTCCAAAAAAGCATTCAAATTCAAATTAGAACGTTGTTATCGATTCTTAATTATATACCAACATTGATCGATAAATATTTGTTTTATATTATTCTTATCATACTTTACGTATAAATAAATAAATATATATATATATATATATATACGATTAATCATACGAATATGAATTTTTTAAAGTATAACGATATTAAAATTAAAAAAAATAAAATTTAATTCATATTTGAATAATATAGTCGAAAAACATTGTGTAATTAAGATTTAAATTTTTATTATACTTTAACTAAATATAAAATGAAACTTTGAATAAATTACCCATCTGTATAACAACAACATATATGATAATAATTTTAAATAAAATTTGATTAGAAATTTTTAAACATTTATGCATACACGCATGAATGTATACATATATATATATATATATATATATATATATATATGTATATATATATATAATCGAAGTTTTTAATTTTTACCATTATTATATTTATATATTTAAATATACATGTATGTAATCTAACCCATTTTCAATACATTAATTAATTCATAATTTATAAAGAATATAGATAATTTAATAAAACATCTGGACATGATGATTACATAATAAATGAAAATCGCATTAAATATAATATAACTGTAAAATAGCATTGTTGTTATTGTCGTTGTAATTGTCGTGTTGTAATTGTTGTTATTGTTGTTGTTGTTATTGTCGTTGTCGTTGTTATTGTTGTTGTTGTTGTTGTTATTATTGTTGTTGTTATTGTTGTTGTTATCATTATTATTATTCAATTTATCATATTTATTTATCAATTTAAAGTTAACAAGAAATAATTAAAATGAATGAAGAATAAGTTTTTTAAATCAAACCAAATTTACTAAATTTATTTTAAGGTAATATAAAACTTAATAAAAATTATGAAAGGAAGTAAGTTAAATTCTAAGCTTTATAAGTAATATTTACTTATTCTATAATAAATGATTGCTAATACTAATGTTTAAAAGAATTGATACTTTGACAACTGAAACTTTACATTTAATCGTGTTAATGTTCATTATTAAAAATAGAGTCTGTGTTTCTCAAGGAACTATTTATCATAGAAAAACAATTTAGTATTGAAAATGTATTGTAGAAATTATTATCAAATACCACATTACTTTAATTTACATTATTCGATCATTTATTTAAAAATAAGTCGATTGCAATAAACAAATATTCTTCTACGTATCATATTAATTTTTGTTTTAAAATTTGAAAAGTCAAAACTACATTTTTCTATTAATGACGTTTTTATATTAAAATAAAGACAAATTTTTATTATCTAGAAAAATAATGTTGTGCTCGACAGCTGTAAGTAAAATTAGTTGCCGATTTAACTCTTTAGTTTTTATAAAAATAACGAAACAATATTAATATTTTATTTCTTCAGCAATATAATTTCAGTATATCATTCAAATAACACTATTTGAGAATATTACACTCGATTATAAAATTAATTTTTTTATCGCGGAATGTTTATCGTATTAAATATTGTTCCCGAAAGAATAATAAATCCTTTACAAAGACAAAAATAGGCTTTTCATTTGATCTTAGAACATAATTTTATATAATAACTGCACAACAAGTACAATGTGAAAATTAAAATATTTCTTTATAGAAATACTTGGAATTCGTAATCTCTAAATGGACAAACGTGCTTTTATTAATTTTTAATGTAACGACAGCAGTAATGATAATGATTATTAGCTGCAGTTAATAGCAATAACGACCATTACAATTATCGTAATTTATGGTATATTACGGCATTTATATATATATATATATATATATATATATATATATATATATATGCTTGCGGGCGTGTGTGTGTACGCATGTGTGCACGTACGTATGTCAAATGCTTATGACGCCAGAGCCAGATCTTTAACGAGGGAAGAATGCACGGTCATTTACACGATCTAGTGGGTATGGCGCGAACGCGCGCGCGTTCGGCTTTCATCCGCATAATCGCCAATGTGAATTTGGTAAATAAATAAAAGTCCAAATATAGATTGCGCTCGCGTTGCTTGTCGGCTTGTATACGCAGTGGCGGCGCTTATCTCATATGTTGCGGGTGTTCATGACGTGTCAATGGCAGATCTTGGAAGCTCGAATGTGTCAACGTCTGTAAGGTCTGGCTTGTCGAGCGGTGGAAGGACTCGCTAGCGATAAATATTTAACGCAAATGCGGTAGGAAGAATAAGGGATTCGCAAGGCCAGTCGATCAATCGGTAATCAACGCAATGATAATAAGCGAACGATGTACTCTCTGATGTAGTTGCGCGACAAAGTCGAGAGAAGCGAATTTTTAGTGTGGGACGGCCAGCCACAATACCGGACAAAAGCGACGAAACGACTGGCCGTATTGTGCAAGTGAAGAGAATCGCTGAGAACGGAGAAGATGACGAGAACGATATTTATATTATGTGCCTTGTACATTATACGAGGGGGTAACGCCTTCTATTTGCCAGGCTTGGCACCGGTGAATTTCTGCATGGATGCAACGAAAACATGCAAGGTAAGCTTTTTTGAGAAAAAAAAATGTCGCTTTGTAAATACCGTCGGTCGGCCGACGTAATACGTAGGCATAGGAGCATAGGAGCATTTCTTATCATTTGTACAGTGTCGTTACGTAGAGTTATGATTAGGAACTACTTACTACGTGTATGTGCGTGTGTGCGTGCACGTACGGACGAATGTTATTATTATTAATTGGCGCAAAAAATATTTCAAGTTTTTCGAAAATTAATACCTTGAATTATGTTGCTTAGTTTGGCGATAGTTGGAGAAGTTTATAATTTATTGAACGGAAAAGTTGCCAGGAACGAGTGACGAATAAAATTTCAGTATTATAAGTCCCGTACTCGCATATTATTTTTTAAGCGCTTTTCCTTGTGTTTATTATTTAATCAATCGACCACTTATGAAATATTGCAGCCATTAATTTTATTTGTTATTTTTTTACACTAGATTTAATACTCTAAAAAATTAATTGGAAAATAAAGATAAAGATGAATAATTTAGCAAGGATTGTATTACTTATATGTGGATATTATATTTATAATTTTATATAGTCCAGTAATTCTCTTGTTTGTTATGTATTTCAGTCCGATATTAGTTTATACGTAAATCGTCTAAATTCAGAACAATCGGTTATCCCATACGAATATCATCAGTAAGTATAAATAATAAAGGTAACTTTTTCATTAATAATAAACAGTATGTAATGATATATTTTTATTGTTATAGTTTTGACTTCTGCTCTATTGATAAGAAGCATCTGCCTGCAGAAAATTTAGGTCAAATTATTTTTGGAGAACGTATACGCCTTTCTTCTTACAAGGTAAGATATGTCATAATATAATATAAGCAAGCGCCTTTTGCGAAGAATGCATTAGATAATATTAATAAAATTCTTATCTGATAGAGTATCACTGTCGTTGTTTTCTTAAAATATTTATTAGCAACTTTTATCAATGCCATATTTTATATTCAATCTATTTATTAGTAATTTCAACATAAAAAATTTAATCTCTCAAATTATAATTATCAAAGATCGTACTTTTGTTCCTTTTGTAGTTAAAGTTTTTAAAAGAAGAGAGGTGTGCAACGGTTTGTCGGAAAACATATACCGGTGATAATGAAGAAGATGAAAAGAAATTACAACTTCTTAGAACAGGAATGCAACTTTCCTATCAACATCATTGGATTGTCGGTAAGATATGAAAAAAATAGGCTTTTAAGTACTGAATATCGAATACAGTAAATTTTTAATGAAAAAACTAAAAAATATACTTTAATCGATAATTTATTATTGTTTAATTTTAAAACTTCTCTGTATATAATTTATTGTATCAAATTTTAAAGTATTTTATAAAAAAATTATTATATTTGAGTAATCTAGATCTTCGCTGTGAGCAAAAATGTTCAAAATTTTTTAATTTGAAATATTATAAAATAAATTAATAATGATAATCCCATATACACTCATAAATTAAAAATTTGTCAAAATAATGAATTGTTTATTGTTTTTTTCAACAATGAAAAAATTTTAATTATTACCATTTAATATAAATATTAAAGAATCGTTTTTCTTTACTGACTAATTTTACGATTACAAAAATATTTAAAAACGAATGCATTGGTGTAAATATCTTTTTAATCATGGTCATCATTGCTTACATATAAAAAGAAAAAAATGTTATAAATGCATGATTCTGAACACATTTATAGAGTAATTCTCGTTAATGTCATGAATACCAAACATTCAATATTTTTTACTCTCATTATTTCATGCATGATTAGTCATGGTAACGGTAAGGGACGCCTATTATCAATTTTTAAAAAAATATATACATATGTATGCGAATATATATATATATATATATATATATATAATGAGCCACTGCTGATAAATTAGAAAAGTATATTTTATATATTTCATTTATATCATTTATTATAACATTTTTGTAATTATATTCTATATCATAATTTTTTATCATTGCAAATATATTAGAATAAAAATGTTGCACGGAATATTATTGATTTTGTATTATCCTCCCGTTGCTCTATGAAATATTATGGTTGTATACGCCGGCAATTGCTTGACTATATTTCGTAATATAAAAGCTAATCTGTTTAGTAGCTGATCAATCATTGAGTGAAGGATGTTTCTTCTTTCACTGTAATAAAATGCCTCGTGTCTGCGACCAAATATTGAAAAATGTTTAAACTTTCAAAGCACGATATATTGATTGACATAGTATTCCGTTTTTAATTATTTTTGTACTCCAGATGCTAATAAACTGACTTAGAATTCAGTGAGAGCATACAAACGGATAGGAATAATTGTGTGAAGCAAAAAAAAATAATGAAGAAGCACTTATAACTTTGAGTTTTAATATAAATTTTTATTTTAATAAATTTTAATAAAACTTATAACTTATAAACACAATAACTTTGAGATATCAACGTTTTTTCATTATGGAAATAAAAAAAGTTGCGACAATGTAGTATAAAATTGCCTTAAAACACTCGTATAATATAAAAAAACGGTCCTTCGAATTTTCCTCGCGCTTTCCCTGGCTCGTGATTTATGCGCCAGTGGAACGTTGATGATGCAAGGGAATAAGGGACACTAACAATCGAATTGCATAAGAATCCTGCAGCAGAGCCCATAGGCAGAATTCGCGATCGGGCTGCGATCGATCACGAAATGATTCGCTCAAATCTGAGAAACGCGTAACCAGTAACTTCGAAACTTACGTACATCGCCTATTCCTTCTAATCGAACAAGAGTAGCCATGACAGAAAATCTCTCAACGAGAATAAGGAGAGATGGGAGTAATTACGCTGTTGCACAATCGATCGATACTTCGAAGAATGGCACATCTTTATTGAAAATAAATAGAATTTTCGATCAGATGCATATTTCGAAAACCGTAGGAATTGAGATACACAAATGCGTTCTTGAAACATTTGAGAATTTAGCAATTTTATAAAGAAATGCAAGAGTACCGGCAAATGTTACAACACGTGTTTGTAGAAAATTGTAAAAGTAATGTTCCACCATTTTGCTCCTAGCGTGCCTAGATCGTCTGTGGTACATATTCAATCAAGCAGAATAATTATCAACACCAGTATTAAAATGGCTTTCTTTTCTATTTCGTAATAATTATGTTGAAGTACGCGAGTGCAAGAGAATTGGTTGGTCCACACACTTGCGATTTTAGTTTTACGGATTTCATGATCCCGAGCTTGTCACGTTGGATCGCCCTTGTTTTATAAAATATAGTATTTCTTATTAGATATTTTAAGAATAATAATTGACTTTAAACATGAATAAATTAAATTTTTTAATAGATGAGACAAATTTCTAAGAAAGTTCTATGAAATTGCATCATCACCGTGGAACGTTATTCCACGGTTCTTCGTTCAACTATTTTCTCTAAAGTATTGCGAATGAAAAAATGCAACCAATAAAATAGCTCTGTTTTAAAATAATATTACATTAAATTATATTTTGATACTAATGATAATACGTGTGTTAATGTATATAGGGTATAATGACTTATATATATATATATATATATATATATATATACTATGCTCGGGCTATGGCTCTAATATATTTTTATTACTCATAAAGAAACTATTTGTTAATTTTAGAGTAAAATTTAAAAGTTCGTGCCTTTTTATTCAAATTATAATTAACACACCGTAGTAATTATATAATAGGATTGTATAGTAGTAATACGAAGAGATATAATGTATCACATTTGTCTTATTTATGTTTAGATAATATGCCGGTAACTTGGTGTTATCCATTAAAAGATGATTACCAATATTGTAGTATCGGCTTCCCAATGGGATGTTACCTAAAAGAATCTTGGACTCAACAAGATAGTTGCAGCATTGACGTATGTTAAAAATTATGCCACCATTTTTCAAAATCTTACTATGCGCTTCGTTTTATTTGGTTTTTAATTTGAACTTCTTCCTTCGTCAATTGTAGCCAAGTATGTACAATAAACCTAAAACGTATTACTTATTTAATCACGTCGATTTAGTAATAACATATCACAGTGGAGCGGATGAGGATTGGGGCACAGGGCCTAAAGAGAACAGCGGCCGCATTATATGTAAGCAAATGAATATTTTTAAAGCAACTGTATGATTAAAGTACATAAATATACAATGTGGGTAAATATTTGCAGCCATTAAGGTTACGCCTCGCAGTATTAAACATGATAAAAATGTTGATTGTCAAAGTAAAATACCATTAGAAATACCCTCAGAGCCATTGGGCCAAGGTCAAAAGCTAGAAATTGCATATACTTACAGTGTTCATTTCCAAGTAAGTGTGTAAAAAATGCATTTATTAAATTATTGCTAATCTGTAAATAAAATATTTTCAGAAAAATAATACGATCAAATGGTCATCCAGGTGGGATTACATTCTCGAATCAATGCCGCACACAAATATCCAATGGTTTAGTATACTGAATTCTCTGGTTATTGTTTTATTCTTATCAGGAATGGTTGGCATGATAATGCTTCGAACATTACACAAAGACATTGCACGATATAATCAAGTAAGTTCCGAAGATTATAAATGATTTTAGATCATATTTAAATGCAGCTGATGTATCTCTTTAAAATATCAAAGTTTTCAAATATCATTTCTCTTTTGTATTTGTATTTGCAAAAAACGTTAAAATCACATTGTTATAAAATAATGTAAAGCATAATTATTTTCAAAATTGTATAATAATAATTCAGAATAAATGAATATGTTTACTTCGCTTATTGAAATTATCATCTTTAGTAATGTCTTAGCTGTAACATTAGACTTAACAACTGTACGTTTTTGTGTAAAAATTAGGATTTTTATGGCAATGTCCTTCATATGGTAACGTAAACTTAAAACATTTTCTTCAGATCGAATCGGGCGAAGATGCTCAAGAAGAATTTGGATGGAAGCTTGTCCATGGTGATGTTTTTCGACCACCGAGAAAAGGAATGTTATTGTCGGTACTTCTTGGCTCGGGTGTTCAAGTATTCTTTATGACTCTCGTTACATTAGGTAAGTTGAAAAAAAATTATCCTTACGATCATTTTCTTGTTTGTTGATAATGTGTACGATTGACATCTCATTAATAAACTCCTACAGCACACAATTCATTAATTATTACTAATGAATTACAAAATACAATAAATAAGTGCAATATTTTTAATGCATTATATATTTAACAACAACTTTTTAATTAAATAACAGGTTTACGGATATCATAATAAATCGAAGCTAATAGAATTGTACTTAGCTAAAAATTTTCTTTTTATTGTATTTGAGTTATTATTTCTAAATATAATTCAGTTAATAATGTTCGGCATAAATTTCATGGCTGACTTTAACAATTTAGAAAAATGTTTAGACTGTTTTAAATAACAAAACATATTTGTAATTGTGATTCCCAGTATATCATGAATTAATTTATCGTTAGTGTATTTATTATATTACAATTATAAGGGTTCTTCAATTACCACAATATTTTATTGCCATTTGAAATTTCGTTATTTTTATTTTTGACTGAATGATGTAAATAATTGTATTAAAATAATTATATATGCCATTGTGATTGATATAATATGTTAAAAATTTATTTGTTTTTATTTTTGTATTCATTTTATTTAGTTATAGAGTTTTATGCAAATAACTTAGGCAAGTTATATAAAAAAAAATATATAAATATATAAATTCGTATTGTTAAAGCATTTTTATTACAACCGAAGTATGTTCTTTTGTACGATTTTATTCATATTGTATTTTTTCTTTTTATACAATAAAAAGAATATTTTTATGATATAATTTTTATAATCTTTAAATATATTTCGTTCACTATATAATTTTATAAAATTTAATTCATATTTTCATATTTTATTAATCTTAAAAAACAATTAAAAAAAATTTTTTTTTTTTTTTTTTTTTTTTTTAATTTCATCTAAAAGTTAATTTTCAATTTCAAATCCCATTTTTCATTACAATAAGTACTACAATTTTATCGTTATATTTATTTGAAAATTTAAGGTTTAAATCTATTTAAAAGCATATAAATGTAATTTCATATTATTATTTACTTACCCCATTGATTTTAATATTTGTTGTCAATTGAAAGAATTTGTATGTGCAGAATATACCCAGTGAAAATAATTAAAAGTACTCTTTCACCAGTCTACTATTCTATATAATAATCGTAATTTAAAAAAAAATCCTATTTTCTCTTTAACCAAAATAATGACACATTTGAAAAGCTCCCGACATCACTATTAAATCATTGCTATATATGATCGGCAGCTTTTGCGTGCCTTGGTTTCTTGTCACCGGCAAATAGAGGAGCATTAATGACCTGTGCTATGGTTTTGTACGTTTGTCTTGGTACAACAGCGGGTTACGTTTCCGCTCGAATTTATAAAAGTTTTGGGGGAGAAAAATGGAAATCAAATGTTCTACTTACATCAATGTTGAGCCCAGGGTATGATTATATATAATTTACAATATAAATTCAAAGTTTTTTTTTATTATTGTTATACGCATCGTTAATAATTTATTATCAATATATTTTTTAGCCTAGTATTTAGTTTATTCTTTATTATGAATCTTATATTTTGGGCTAAAGATAGTTCGGCAGCAGTACCTTTTAGTACCCTCGTTACCATTTTAGCTTTATGGTTTGGTATATCTGTTCCTTTAACGTTTATTGGGGCATATTTTGGTTTCAAAAAACGGGTAAGATAAAGCTTATTTAAATTGATTTTTTGTTTTTAATTAAACAGTTGTAAAACGTAAAAATTTTGTTTTAGGCTATTGAACATCCAGTTCGAACGAATCAAATACCTCGTCAAATACCAGAGCAAAGCTTCTGTACGCAAGCTATTCCCGGTGTTATTATGGGAGGTGTTTTACCCTTTGGTTGCATATTTATTCAATTATTTTTTATATTGAATTCATTATGGTAAGTAACTTTATTATTTTTATATTTTCTTATTTTATTTATATCTGACCAAGGATAATTGGTATTTTCAATTAATTTATAATTTTAGAAACTATTTTAAATTTTCTTCGGTCTTATCATTATGATATAAAATTCGATAATACAAATAATTGTAAATTAATATTATTCAAAATATTTTTAACTTTATATTGCTTATAACTCCGCGAAAAAAAAAACAATTAAGTACTGATAATGAGAATTAAATTAAATATTGAAAATACTCATTAAAGTGGGGATATAGAATAGAAAGCACGAAATTTTCATTGAATTTATTCCCAGGTCAAGTCAGATGTATTACATGTTTGGATTTCTATTTTTGGTATTTTTAATTCTTGTAATTACATGCTCAAAAACTACAATTCTTTTATGTTACTTTCATCTTTGTGCCGAGGTAAATATAAATGCATATAGTGGCTATGCATGTGTATATGTATATATATATATATATATATATATATGCATACATATAATACATACATATAGTACGTACATACATATAAATTACGATAAATAATCAATGAAAATCAAACATTTTTAGGATTATCACTGGTGGTGGCGTAGTTTTCTTACATCGGGTTTCACGGCATTTTATTTATTAGTTTATTGCATACATTATTTTGTAACGAAATTGAATATTGAAGATGCAACTTCTACTTTTCTTTATTTTGGATATACAATGATTATGGTTTATCTGTTCTTCCTCTTGACAGGTAATTTTCTTTTTATATTATGTTGGTATTATAATATATTAAATTATATTTCAAATATAAATATTTTTCAGGTTCTATTGGCTTCTTTGCCAGTTTTTGGTTTGTTAGAAAAATTTACAGTGTTGTTAAAGTCGACTAAATAATATTCTAAAAAGTAAAATTTTATGATTTTTTTGGATTTCAATCGTGTGTTATTATCATATGTTTTAGCGCGAGTATTATATCACTTGTTATTCATAACTAAAGAAACTAAACACATTATATATATATATATATATATATATATATATATATATATATATAATGTGTTTAGTTTCTTTAGTTATGAATAACAAGTGATATAATTATATGTTCAGTTATACTATACAGGATTTATAAAAGAGATCAAGATCTTTAAATTTTTTAAAAATAAGTAAGTTTATAAATAAAACAGTTGTAAGATATAAATGAATGATTTGATGAATTATTTAAACACTAATGAAAATTGAATTAAATTGAATATTGCTTATATATAAAGAATCAACCTTTTAAATTTAACTATTATAATTGAAATATTGTTTTTAATAATGATTAAAAAATTGTTTCTGAAATTTCATTAAGTCATCCATATATGCAACATGTCGATGTTATTTATATATATATATATATATATATATATATATGCGTGAATGATTTCGAGTCAATCTTTTTCTGTATATTTTATATATTACGTTTACAAGTATTTTATATAAAACAATTAATATGAATAATCTTATGATATAGTTAATATAATAGTTTGTCTAATGCTTTCATTATGTGTTAAATATATTTTTAAAACACTTACGCGTTACTAAGCGTAAATTGAAAACTATAATAATAATATCTTGCCAATTAATTCCATAATTATTTCATAATTTAGGTGTATTCGAAATTTTAGAAAACAGAAGAAACTACTTTTATATGTTAAATTATACTTGTAAAACGAAATACTTATTTTATGAGTAATAATAGATGTTTGGAATTGATACATTTTTATATTATAATTAGATATTGGGTTTTCTAAAACAATAAGTTTCAAGTAGTTGAGTAAAATTATTATTACTTTTGAATAATAACACTTTTCATCATGAATTTCGATTGAATTTCCATTAATAAATGAAGATGTATACCTTTTTTGTATACATGACTTCATTAAATAAAATATAACTTTTATTTCAATCCTTTTCTCTAAAAAAGAATTAAGGTCGAAACGCTTAAAAAGTTATATAAATAACACCAATGTTTACGTTGATTCTTATTTGTACTACTCACATTTACTATTTTTGACTTTTTATTCTAAATATAGACTACTAATAAACATACGATTGAAAGTCAAAAAATCACAAAAAAAGTAAAATCACTGTGAAGGGTTCAAATTAACAATTAAGTAAATTAATTCTTTATACGTCACGTTTTATTATTTGTTTAATTATCAAATTTTAATATGTAGATTACTTGACTATTAGATTTATCAAAATATTTTTTGCACATAAAGTGTACGTGTACTACTTTACCTTCAAGTCAGTCTCTTTATAAAATTAAATTAAATCATTTTGTTTATATTATGATTATACTTTCGAAAAACTCGATTGTAGCATTTATTTAAAGTATGTTTATGCACAGGTTTAATAATAGTCAAGAAAAATTAAAACAAAATAAGAACCAAACCAGGTATTTTAAATATAATTGAAAAGATCAGTGATTTTAGCTTAAAAGTACATTTATCATTTTCCTTATAGTAATAGTCTGTCATTTTTGGGGGCGAGATTCGAATATTTTTTATTGCCAATCAAAGTTGAATGTAACATCAATTATTGTGTTAACTTTCAAACAATGCATATTGACAACTAAAACTCTACATTACATTACATTATAAATAATAGTTTTTCTGAAACACATACATTAAAAAGTGAATCTCATGAAAAACACTTTTGCCAAAAAAACAAAACAAACAGTTCAGTTAAATGTTATTACATAATAATGTAATAACAAACGTGTGTTTAAATGTTTTTAAATTAATCAAACGGTTCATTAAATAATTTAAACGTATATTAAATTGTTTTACTTGAACATAAATTTTTATCACTAACAAGTTATTATAAATTTCATATGATACTGTTGAAGATTAATTTGAGTAAATAATGTTTGTCAAATGTTACCACTGCAATAAATTCTCATTCTGTTTCTACATAGCCTAGAATAATTTGCACTGCTACTAAACGCAAAATCATTGATTGGACAAAGAATAAAACGAATGATTATTAACATTGCAAAACATTAGTCGATATAAGGTGAATATGTGACGCAATAAAAAAGTAATGTAAATCTAAATAATTGAGATTTACGCTCTATTTTTTTATCAATCATATTCATTTGTATGAATATTATAAATATTACGGGATAAAGTAATGGCATTCGATCTATTCTTCAGAGACGCAAGATGTCATTTATATTTTCAAGCGTTAAAGTTACGTCTTTATAATTTCTATATACGCATTTATACTCAAAAACCATTTGATTATTAGTTTTGAGATTTGATATAATTAAAAAAAAAAGAAGATGACTCGCGCCAAAGATTAGAGTTAAATTATTTGTCAACTATTACTTAAAGGTCAAAGATAATTTTGATAAATGATTAATCTACTGGTAACAATTTTAAACGTTTCGGTAGGCAAATTTTTAATTAATAATTAAATTATTTTCTACTTTAATACAAAACAAAACATTTAAAAAAATAATTTATAATTACAGTGCTATTGTAAAGGTTTATTTTATTTCATTGAAAGGTATTATTGCTATGTAAGTATGTATGTGTGTATGTACTAAAATATTTGTAAAGTTAAATGTAAGGATAATAATATGTCTATATTCTCAATAAAATACAAATAACTCAATATTTTGATTGATGGATTTGTATTGAATTCTCTATTTAATCAAAGAAGCTTTTCTGATGATCTACAGAAAAATATTTATTATTTTACTTATTACAAAACATTTCTCAATCTGAAATAAAAATAAGCCTATATAATACACTAAGGAAGCGTTTGATTTCAAAAAGAAAGTATTGCAAGTTATTAATTGCTTATTTAAGGATTATATTATATAAGGAATATAATTTCTTATATCCCGTGTAAATGATTATACTAATAGCTTGAATGTATTAGAGAAATTGATTTTAAAAATAATCTTAATCCAATACAAATTATCGTTTTACTTTTTATAAGTTTGGTTAGATTTAGCTTTCAATAATAATGCAATTAACAAACGCTTTCTTATTCCGTAAGTGTGACTTAAGATTTATGTATTTCTAAGATATTATATTAAGTTAGCTTAAAGATGCGATAATAGAAAATGTACAAATTGGCTTAAGTGAATACGAATTAGCTTTTGATCTTTTATTGGTAAGAATTTCAATTATTATGAAATATTTTCTCCGCTAATTCAAAGAAACATAATTGCATCTATAATTTTTGTAAATTACTATGATTGTGTTAAAATAATGTTATTAGATATAAGTTAATGATTAAGCCGTGCTAATCACATACACATTATAAAATACATGTGAATGAGATAACTATGCAAAAGTAAATCTTGTATCTTTTCACTAAAAAAACAAAACAAAAAAACACCACAAAAACAAAAACAAAAACAAAAAAACGTTTATTCATAAGCGTTTGTGTAAAACTGTAAATTTTTTATAATTATAAAATTATGTACAGAAAAAATGTAGTTATTATTACCAACCAATACTTTACTGCTAAATATCAATGAAAAATAACTTTATGCTAATTACAAAATTTTTATAATTCGTTTATTAGTACTCGCTAAAAACAGCTACAGGTATATATTTAAATACCATTTAAAGTCTACAAATCAATAGAAATGGTTTTACTATGCTTTGTATGTATTATTAGCAATTTTACAATTTTATTAGTTCTATTATCAGATACATGTATATACAGTTGATTCTTGAAAACGAATAAATTTTCGTTTTAACAGTGTATCTGCTGCATTACACATTTGATAGCAACAATTTTGTAGCTATACGATCTTTTAGATAATGTAATTTAACAATATATTGATATCCTGAAGCTTTATGAATACTACAACGTGAAAGTTTTTTTCATGACATTTTGCACTTGGTAGTTCACAATTGAGCTTAGCTCCATTTCTGCCTGTTCGGTTGTTTACTTGAAAAATAAACAATACCAACTTTTATTAAGATTGGAAAACTTTCTGTCTTGTAAAGTCCCACGAAGATATCACGCAATGTATACGCACAAGATACAAAAGCAATTTATGTGCAATGAAAATAATTCCTTAGATGTGATATAAATCCTCCGGAGAAGTCGACGGCTTTGTAGTTTTAGGAACATGGCAGAATGATGCCTCTGGTAGATAGTAGTCTGTTGACCTGTAAGAAGCACGGCTTATATGATGAAAATCAGGATCAGGGACCAAGGATGAGGATTCCATGCAAGGTAAGATTTCGTTCGTATTTCAAAAAAATTTCCTTTCAGTCGAAGAATATGTAAATAAAATTTATCAAATTAAAAAAATCCGTTCTTTTAAATATAAACTAGAATAGCTTTAATATTCTGCAACATAGAAACTATAAATTAAATCGATATACTTTTTTTTTATCCAAAAAATTTGAATAATAAAGTACAGAAACCTATAAATCGCGTAAAATACGAATTAAATAATACGCTATTTGCATCGATCACAATAACGTGCCGAGGACTCGTCAAACTGTTCAAGTCAAAAAAAAAAAAAAAAAAAAAAAAAAAAAAAGAGAGAGAAAGAGAGAGGAGGATAGGAAAGTTTTGTCCTTTGGATTCTGTTAAAAAATTATTTTCTGGGACTACGACGACGACGCGTGTCCCGATTTCGTTCGGCACGTCTCATTTCTTCCAATCTGCGCGCATGTTCAGCCATGTGCTGTCTCCTCATTTCTTCTTTTACAATAATCTGCAGTCATCGATTAAATTTGCATTAATGCGAGTAATCGATTAATTGTATTTAGATTACGTACAATTTTCCAATCCGATGCGTTACCTGTTCATTGGTTAATGGCAGCCAATATATGCACGGGATAGCCTTAGTTTTTCTGAAAAGATCGTCTAGAAGCTTTGCTGTTGGAGGTTCTTCTTCTTTCTTCTTAAATTTTCGCGCTGGCGCTGGAAGATGAGCTTCAAGTATTGGACTCCTACTTCTTTGCCTCTTTTTCTTTTCGAATTCCTTCTTCTCTCGTTCTTTTTCTTTAACATGCATCTGTCCATCTTCTTTACCCAGATCCCATTCGCGTATAACCGTAATCTAATAAAAATATATAAATATATATTAGCCATCACATTAAATTACGTTAGATTTTTTTCATTTTTATGGAATTTTCATGGATTTGAAATTTATAAAATACCTTATTTACTACATTATTTCCTTCGTCGCGTGACCAATGAAATCGTTTCCACACATCACCGGAAGGTGTCGGTTCTACTTTCCTTGCAACCGGTTGATCTTTCGACGAAGTTTCTCGGGTTGTATTCATATCTTCCTTTGTAGCATAGTCTACAATAAGTTTCTTTGGGTTTGATAATGGCCAAGAAACGCCATGCAATGCCTGTCTTGTTTCGAAAGCTTGATCTTCGTTAGCATACTGAAGCAAATTATTTAAACATCATGAATGACTAATGCGCATTTAATTAAAAACAAAAATAAATAAAATGTATTTTATTATAATTATCAAATACCTCTACAAAGCATTTAGATTTTATTCTATCCATCCAAAATCCATTTTCTACAATTGTGCCCGTACGTGACAGAAGCTCTTTGATTTGATTTAGGGTAAAGGGACGTACCAAATTTCTTATTAATAGAATATTTGTTGCTTGAGCTTCAGGTGGGCTTGGTGATTTCGGACGTGGAGTTTCTTTAACGACCGTTATCTTTCGTCTTGATGCTGAAAATAATTTACAGATAATTTATTTTTATTTCTACTGCGGCGAAAACGATTATAAAATAGGTACAAGTAAATGGAATTACTTATGTGATTATCAATTTTTGAATCTCCCTTTTTGTTAATATCAATTTTTGAAACTGTATCATATTTCGACTTGTGATCTCCAGAATTTTCAGATTTACTTTTTCGACTTTCTCTTTCATCATCCTCATCTTTATTAAGTCGTACTTCATTTACAGATAGAGGCTTTGCACCTGGTACCAAAGCCTGTTGAACATAATGTTTAAATACATTAACTAATAATTCATAATTAGTTCATTATAATTATTATACTAAACTACAACCTTTAGAGAGTCTGTTGAAATGGAAAATGCTGGTGCAATGTCAGTGGACGTTGTCATACCCCAGCGACGCCTTTTTGTAGAACTTTTCTGATCAGGTTGTTCGTTATCAGCATGATTTTCCTAATGAAATAAATATTTTGAGTTTCAATTAACTTTCATGCAATGATACAATTTAATGTTATTATTCTAAAATATACCTTATTTTGATTAGACTCCTTTGAAATCGGTTTTTTGTTCAAATTTTCTTCTTTCTTTGTTTCTGAATCCGTTGATAATCTAGTAGAGCTATAAAGTTAATATAACATTTAAAAGTAATTTTTTAATATTTCAAATACGTGTATTTGAATAAGAAAAAATAAAGAGAGATGAAATACTCACAATGACCTCTTCAAACTAACTTTTATTGGTTTTGAAGTAGATAAGTTTACGTTTAATTCGTCCGATTTTTCACTGATTTCAAGAATATCATCTTTCTCTATATTGCATTCGGATAACTCAATTTCTGATTCTGCATTAGCAGATACCGAATTCTTGTCTACTTCGGTTGTTGTAGTCTTTTGTTTCTCACTTTTCTTTTCTTTCCTGCCTTTTCTTTTACCTCCCTCTGCTTTAGAAGTATCCTTTTCAACCTCTTTTTTTTGAGCTCCTTTTTTCTTTATTTTATTTGATTCGTCGTTTGATTCGGGAGTATCTGAATGCGATGACTCACGATATTTAATCTGAGTGTCTTGTGTGTCTGATGAATCAACTTTAGAACTTGGTTCTTTTTCTACATCTTCTCTTATCTCTCCTTCTTCTTCTTCCTCTTCATTTCTTGAATTTCTTTTAATATCTACATTATCGGTAGCAACAGTTTTATTACTAATTAATATATTCTCCGTTTTTTTTTCTTTCAACAGAGTACTCTCTTGTTTCAAAAGTTCATTCGATACGGGTATTACGTTCTCTACAGTACGATCTCCGCAAGATGCAGTCGATTCATCAGTAATTGCTTCTTGATTTATTTTAACATTCTTATCCGCAGGAATTACTTTATTAGAATGTTCATCGTTTATACTTGGATTAGCATTAGAACCAATAAGCTGATGAGACTTTTTGCTAATTGAATTTAATCCTGGTGTACTTGAGTTTTCTGGATAATCTTCGTTTTGTTGATCATTGAGCAATTTTCCTGAAGTAAGTTCTGCAACATTTTCCCTGCAATCTAGCGATTGACTCGAATGAGAATTATCACTAGGTAGATTTGTGGAAGGGCTTGATGACTTATTATCCTCATTGTTTGGTGGCTCAGACAATTTTGTTGCAGTAGTTTCAGACAGGTTCTCCTTGAAATCTGCTAGCTGATCTATGTTTGTTTTATCATCAGACAAGTTGGCTGAAGTGATTTCAGGCAGGTTCTCCTTGTAATCACTTACCTCTTCGTTGGAGTCCTGACCTGGGTGCGAAGAAGAGGGATCGTCAACCTGTTTGCCAATAGTCGTCTTTCGAGAAGACGATATTTGCTCATCGGCTGAGTCAGCCTCTTCCGCGCCTCCTTCATCACTATCTGGCCACTTGTGTGATTTAGTTTTACTTATAGAACTGTCTGATGCTTCAGAAATATTACGCTGTCTACAGAGTTTCAGCTTCTGTATTTCTCCAGGCGATGCATCCGCTCTTGCTACCTTCCACACCGATCCATTATCCTCTTCGCCTTCTCCAAGTACAGACTTGATAAGCTCACTGGATATAACATCCTTTCTCAACTCTTCACGATCGTTGCCCTGTTGTTCAGATTGAAGTCGTAATTCCTTATCGTCATCCGAAAATGGAGTGCTCGAAACATTCTCATCTACGTTCTCTCTTTCTGGCGACGTAGACGGCGATGCTTTACCTCTTCGACGAGTCGTCCTTCTCGTTGGCTTCTCTACTTTCTTCTCCGGGGAGCCCTTGGCCTTGTTCCTCTCACTTTTTCGCCTCATAACTAAAATAAATATTATACTTTTTGAAACGCTTTCAAACGTATCGTACTGATAAATTATAAAAAAATATCACTCGTTATCATTAATTTGCTATCTCTAATATAATTATTATTCACGTTAAACAAATTATTAAGAATTACATAACTATTGTAATAATGATAATTTGACACACTTATTTAATATAAAATAAGGCTGTAAATTGAGAACGGACGCTCGTTTGGCTCGATAGGTTAATTAAATCGTGCAATGTAACAAACACGATTTACATGGAGACCTTAGGCGTTGCGGGCGGCAGTAACGGCAGGCGTATTTCTAACAAGCCTGCTAAAAATGAAAATAACTTTTTGAGCTCTGAACTTACTTGTATGAATAATTCGTGAAAGTTAGTAGATTAATCGTGATCCCACGTTCCAAGAAACTTCGATTAATTTCATGAAATAAGACACGCTGCAGAAACAATCCGAGCCATGTATATAAATGCAACGACGCTATTAAATAGTATTACTTATACCACCGCAGGCGCAAATTCTCTCTAGTCGATTGGACATAGACTTTCCGAAGGTATGATGTGCATGCCAAATTGAAAAATGGGCAATTACACCAACAGCTGCGCCCTCTTACACGGTGAATGGAAGAAATTAAGAGACCCAGTTTTATCTGAAAAATAATTATAAATCACATTTTCATTAGCTATTTAATTATTTTCAAATATTTCGTTAATTTATTTCTTTTATTATGATTATAATTTCATTGAGAAAATTATTGAAATCGAGATATTGTCAAACGAGAGGTTTAAAAGTAGCATCCGCAGGGCAAACACCTGCTGAATATTGTTTACATTTAGTAAGGTAAGACTGATTATAACCATTATTAAATTGGGATTTACTTTCAGTATAATTGCGAATGGCTTTTTTCAGAAACAATGATTTTGAGAATTTTTTGTGTACATTAATTTTGCCAAAAATTTTGAGATCCACTGCCTTTGCGATTCGAGCTTTCAACACAGAAATAGCTACGATTCAAGATCAAATTACAGACAATAGGTACGGCTTATTAAGAATTGAATTTTGGACAGATACTTTGAACAATATCTATAATGACAAGCCAATAGAACATCCGACGTCCTTAGAACTATATAGGGTAAGCACAAGATAGGAGGCACAAAATGTTTTTACATTAATATAACATTTACATTTACATTACATTAATATAATTAAAACTCAACTTTTAGGTGATGCACAAGAAGAAGTTGTCTAAATATTATTTTAAACGTTTAATCGAGTCTCGATCCAATCATATAAATTCCTCTACTTTTACAAGTTTACAGTCAATGGAAAATTATGCCGAAAATTCAGTCTCTACTATTTATTATTTGCTTTTAGAAGCAGGCGAAATACAGGATATAAAAACAGATCATTTTGCGAGTCATTTGGGCAAAGCCCATGGTATCGTGACTTTAATCAGATCCGTGCCTCATAATACAGAGAGGAGAATCATTAATCTACCGCAAGATGTACTCATGAAGCATGGGATCTCTAGCGAATCGGTGCTTCAAAAAAAAAGTACTAACAAATTAAAGGACGTGATTTATGAGATTTCTACTAAAGCTAAACAACATTTAAATAAGGTTAGTCTATATTGTCTATATTGTTATTTCTATTGTTGTATCTTATATATCTCTTTTGCTACAGGCTTTATCTCTGCAAAATCAAATTAAAAATGAGTCTCGCATAATTTTTTTGCCATATATTTTTATTAAGGATTATCTCGACAATTTAGAAAAAGCAGATTTTGATGTTTTTCATCCCAAATTGCAAGAACGAAACGACTTACTAGTATTCAAATTACTTTGGAAAAAATTATCTCTTCAAATAAACAAGTCCTCTCGTTTTAACTAACATAAAATTTAAAATTATTATTTATACAACGTTGAAAAATTAATATATTGTATTTAATGCACGAAAATTCTGAAATAAAATATTTCACATTTTATATTGATTAAAATCGTATACAGAAAAAACACGAGTCAATATTACAATAGCCGACTCCTCTCTTATCTATGCTTATTATAAAGTTCGTGCTCAACATTTGCTAACTTAACCTTTCCATCATGGCGTGAACTGTAAATACGTAATTGCGTATTTAAATATGCAGAAAATATATATTAAATTACCTTTTAAATGATTTAAATCACTTGGTCTACTATAGAAAAGTTCAATATTTAACATTAAGATAGAAGGCTACAGACAAAATTAATATTGTCGGAAAAAACTGAATTCGCCGCCACCTGCATAGATCAAGGACTGCATCCATTTCAGCGGTCGCTGTCATGGCGAAGATTTGCTTATACGACTCGACAACTTGCCGTTTGTGTGCGGAAAACAACGACAACGGCGAAATGTTATTTACCGATGACTCCGAGGAAACAGAGTTAAGCGCGATGATCAACCGTTATTTACCGCTTAAGGTACGGAAGCGGGAATTTGATGGTTCGAACGTATCCCAAAATCAAGACTTGAACTTGACTTCCTTATCCTTTGCAATATGGAGGCTCGACTGATTTCAATCGTAGAGCATGAGACACTAATACCTACTGCATGGATCAAATCATTTTTGACGTTTGTTGCCCTTGTAGCCCGAAATTTTTAGCTACTGTAGCTTTAACAAAAGCGAATCATTATAGTAGAATATCCCTTTCTTATGACACAAGCCACTATTATCATTTTTATTTTCTATGTCTCTTTATCAAGCAAAATAATATTTATATCTGTTGATTTTGAGAAGTAAGATTAGTTCTTGTTTAAATTCAAAAGTACAATAATTATGCTACAAAAGAGATTTCAAATTTTTATTAACATCATTTATAAATTAAATAAAAATATTTTAACACTTATGTGAACTCAATTTTATACCTCAATATTACTTTTATACTATGCTTTTTGTTTGACATTATCTGCAAATGCCATATTTCCTGTAATATGAACAAAGTTATTTTAATAATTCGCAGGTTCACGATGATGGTAACTTGCCCCGTACCATATGCCCTGGGTGTAATATTCAATTGGAAGCGACTGTACAATTTTTTGAGCTACTTATTAATGGTCAACGTAAAATTCAAGAAATGTGGAAACAACAAATTGAATTCCAACGTAGGATCGAAAGAGGTCGTCTTAAAAAAAAGAACATTAACATAACATTGAATAATTCTAAATTGTTAAATGCAGAAAACGATAACTTAGTCCCAGAATCAAACCATCAACAAATTATTATAAATGGTAATGCTTTAAGGAAAAACACCGAAAAGATAAACAATATTATACTGTAATATATTTATTTATTTGTTTTGTTTAGTAATGCCTGATGGTTCTGTTTATGCTGCTGAACATGATTTAAGTTTACAAATGCAAGGACTAGATAAGCCAAAAAGAAAAAGAGGCCGACCACCAAAAACTTCATCTGAAGAAGAATTAAAAGTAATCCTGTTCATTGCCTATTTTACTACTTTATATCAACTTTTAATTATCAAAGATAATTTTATTTATCTTGTTGTTAATTTCTTAATATTTTCAAGGACAATGACAAGGATGAATGTATGGAAGAAATAAGTCAAGAAGAAGAAGAGAAGCAAGAAGAAGATGAATTTGATAAAGATGGAAGACAGAGGAGAAAACGTAAAGTTCCTAAGAGGTAACTATACAAAACTGTCTAAATATATATATATATATAATTATCTTAATTAGATATTAAGAAATTATAACTATTTCTAATTTATACAGGTACATGGAAACAGTTCAAGGAAAAGAATTAGAAAAAATGTTTAAAGAAGAAGGAGTTTTTGATGAAGATGATATGCAAATAAAATATGAAACAGATGAAAATTTGAATATTTCAAGCATAGATAGTAGCAACAGTGACACAGGTTTTTATATTGACTTTGAAAAATGGTAATTTGATTAAATATTATATATTATTTATTATGTAATGTGTTGTAGAAATAATTGGCCATTTGGAGACTATAGAAGGAAAAAATTTGGGTGAGTTAGTTGTAGTTAATAGAAATAAGGTTCGTACAAAATCAAAATTACAGAAATCAAAAGTAAAAAGAAAACACAAATTTACATGTTCCTATTGTGGTAAAGGGTTCTTACAACGGAGTAAATATATTATTCATAAGAGTTTTCATAAAACAATAAAATACGAATGTACTGAATGTCATAATCAATTTTCAAATAAAGAGAATTTAGCTTTTCATCAAAAGACATTAAGTCATACCGGAGAAAAAATAACTGAAATAAATGATGTAGAAAAAAATATCAAAACCGATCCTCATAAAGCTATTAATTTAGAGTTGGTAAACATGATTGAACCATCCACAAGTTTAACAACTTCTTTAACAAGTTTACATAGTATAAATCCTGATATTAAATCTTTGAATACTCTAGAAAATAACGAATTAAAAGTTATTGGAGTGGAAAATCAAGTAGCTGCATGTAGGGAAGAAGAATTATCCCAAGATTCTGAATCCAAAGACACAGACAATATATTCAAATGTGACAAATGCAATAAACATTTCCAATCAAAAAATAATTTAGAAACTCATGTAAAAGTGGTACATCAAGGAGAAAAGCCTTTTATATGTGAAATATGTAACAAAGCATTTGCATATCAATCAAGTTTGAAAGGACACAAGGAAATAGTTCATCAAGTAAGACTACTTTGAAATATTGATTACTGCAATTTAATAATAATAGTAATAACAAAAATGTTTTAATTTTTAATTTTATATAAATGAAAAATGAAAGTTAACAGCTGGGAAGCCAGATTATTTAAACTGATTTACCTATATTTAAATATTTTAAATTTATTTCAAACACAAAATATGTATCAGCCCCTATCTTATATGTAATTTCGTAATTTATTTCAAAATTTAATTGTTTTATAAAAATCAATTTCAAATTAACTCTATTATATAGAAAACACTTTATGACAAAATTCAAACTAAGTATATAATATATTGTATATATAATCCTTAGAATAATAAATCAGATAAAGGCTTTCCTTGTGACATTTGTGGAAAAGTTCTCAATCATCCAAGTTCGATAATGTATCACAAGTTAAGCGAACACAACAATGGACGTCGTTTTGTATGCAATAAATGTGGCAAAAGTTTTAAACATAAGCAATTATTACAACGGCATCAACTTGTTCACTCAGAACATAGACCATATCCTTGCAAATCTTGCAATGCTTCCTTCAAAACAAAAGCAAATTTATTAAATCATCAATCAACTCATACTGGAGAAAAGAAACATTTCTGCGAACTTTGTGATCATAAATTTGCTCATAAAACAAGCCTTACTTTACATTATAGGTATAATATACTATACAATTTATTAAAAAAATTGTTTAAAAGATTGTAAGAAATTTTGTTTATCTACTAATTCACATATTTTATTCTAATTTTAGAACTCATACAGGTCAAAAGCCGTACAAATGCGAAGTATGTTCAAAAAGTTTTTCTCAAAACGGTAATCTACAAGAACATATGCGCATCCATACAGGCGAAAAACCATATTGCTGTGATCATTGTGGTCGTAAATTTACGACATCATCACAATTCAAGTTGCATGTAAAACGGCACACAGGAGAGAGACCGTGGAAATGTGAATTTTGTGCAAAATCATTTTTGCACAAGGATACATGGAAATGTCATGTGCGTAGACATACAGGAGAGCGTCCATTTCAATGCGCATACTGTAATCGAGATTTTACAGAACAATGGGCATTAAAGAAACATTTGCGACTACATACAGGTAAATTTTGCATAAAGATTTTGATATGATAATTTAAATACGTTTGATTATTATTCGTTTTGATTAAAATATTTTTACTTATCTGTTAGGAGAAAAGCCATATAATTGTGAAGTTTGTGGAAAAGCGTTCGCTGATTGTTCAAATTTAACTAAACATAAAAAAGTAAATAAATATATACAGCTTAAGAGTCATCAACTATTTCTTAAATAAATTAAATTGTAAGTTAATATTGAAATTATTTTAGGTTCATAAGAATACAGGATTAGATTCTAATGGATTATCAGAGGGGCCTACGATTGGAGAAGTTTGGCAAATTTTACCAAGTTCTCAGGAAGAAAATGGTAATACACTCAATAACTTGACTCAAGTTATGACAGGAGATGAAATTTCAGAAGATGATATGTCACAAATTATTTATGTGGCTTATCAAGATCCTAATCATTCAGTCGAATCCCGAACATTGCAACTTAGTAAGTAGAATTTCATTAATAAATAATATATTTTTAGTTTATTATCATTAAAATTAACAAAATAATTTGTTATAGATAAAGGCAATATATTAACTGATCAAGAATCAAATTTAAATTCAACAGTAAATAATGATGATTCTAATAATATGGAACTTCCAGCTGAATCGGATTTACAACTTCAAGTAAGTTTTTTACATTGCATTAAATTTAATTAAATATTATTTAATACTGCCTTCAGACTATTATCAAGCAATTATTATAAATTATAATATTCATTTCATTTTATTATTTTATTTTCGCCACTTTTGCACAATGGCCAAAATAACCAAAATGAACACTGCGGATGATCAATAAAGTACAGGTTCATTATTACAAGAAAACATAAAAAATTTATCAATATTTTCGATGCATATATATACTTTCTGGACACTTATTTTATCTTCTTAAACTTTGCAGAATACCGACTGCAAAAATAACTGTTCTAATAATTTTTATATGTATATTTAGCTGTATATGTAAATTTTTTAAACTATGCAATTATTTATAACCATAAAAATGAAACTAATAAAGGTATAATATGTTATAAATGTATATATATAATACAATATAATATGTTCATATTCATTTTTCATTTGTCAACATATTCAAATTCATATTCATCCAATATAATACAATATAATAGTTCATTTTCATAGGTTTTTTCAATTTATACTATTTATTCAATTTATTTTATTGGCTACATGAAAATAAATAGTATTTTAAAATTATGGTAATGGCATTATAAAATTACTTTAAGTACATGTTCCATTGAAATTAAAAATTTTTTTATCTTCAATTGTAATTAATATATATGACAAATTATCACAGATAATTATTTTATTAAAAGATTAATTACATAATGTATATAACAAAAATATTAAATATATTTTCTTGTTTTTCTTTATAAATAATTTCATAAAAAAATTTTACAATTTATAAAATTTAATAATTACATTTATTTAAAAAAATTTAATATTAAACATTTATTTATATGCATTTTATAATACCTAATTTCATCAAAGTACTAGTAATTTTAAAATTTTGTAATTTATAACCTTTTATCGATTTATGCCCCTATATATCTACACGTATATTTGGTATATTAGTTTAAATACTTTATAAAGCATCACTTCATAATTAAATTGATTATTTTAGATAATTTAAATTTCCATAACATAATTACTATAATTTATATAATTTATTCAGTATTTTTTTAACTGACAATAAAAATTGATTAGATACAAACTTGAGTTTCAGTATACACATATAACAATTTTTTATAACGCAGCTTCATTATCCTTTGATCTCTGCATTTATATAATTTGGATATTTGAGCTACTTATCTAAAAAAATTTACTCAATAAAATCTTATTTAATATTTATAGATAACAGATGAGGATGGTAATGCCATTCCATTATCACTACAAGATGCACGTCAATTATTTTCGGAAGGACAATTTGTTAGTCAATTAAATGGAGGTCAAACGATAAGAGTTCAAAGTTTACCATCATCACTAGGAATAACTTCAGATGTTGAAATTACACCACTTTCTACAAAAGAAACTACCGAATCAAAACTCTCTTTAACATCAACAATTCAAACAGATGCTGAAGCTATAGTAAAAGTTTTAGAGGTGTGCTCAAATTTTAAAATTTAAAAGATCTGCTACAATTAAAACGCAACCAGAATTAAATATTTAATGTTATTGTAGGATGAAGATACCGATGCTACAGCTGTTGCAGCAATTAATCAAATGAATGCAGAAGATCGTTTGGAATTAGCTGATGGACAACAAGCTATAGAATTTGTTACTCAAGATGGACAGAAAGTGCGACTAGTAACTTCTCTGAATATAGATCCATTACAATTAGCCTCGGAGTACCTGACTATAGTTTAAATAAATTTGTAGCAAATATATGCTATAAATATTATTTAACAAGTTGTGATAATTTAAAAATTTTTTATTTAATGTTTCTAAAAAAATGTTCACTATACTATAAAAGTGTGTTAGTATGTAATGGTCATATGAGATGAAAAAATTAGTGTAATACATGTCATTCTTATAAATTTATAAAGCTACAAAAAATTGATTACAATGAAATTTTAACATTAATTTAATAAATATAAAAATTGTAAATACAATATTTGCATTTTGTAAATATTCACAATTTTTAAAATAATAATTAGTTCTTATTTCAGATTATTATATATTATTATACAAGCAGTATCACTTAAAACAATTCATTAAAAAATATTTAATACAAAATAATTCATAAAATATTAATAAATTTTTCATTAGCATTACAATATTATTGTGTACTGTTTCAAACAATGTATTTTTCAAATAATAGCTAATTTTCATTCAAAATGAATTTCAGTTTTATAATAATTTATGCAATTTTGTAATTACTTCATTTATATTATAAATTGCATTTTATAAATATAATATTTTAATAAATTATGTAATTTGTGTACAATTTCTCATCTTAAAATAATTTTTACAATATTATAAAATAAGAATTGTAGTGATGTCTTATTTAAATTGACCTTGTCTTAATTATTGTAATAATTATTTAATGCTTACTTAAAACTAAGTGAATCCTGATACAATAATAAAATGTACACGTAGATATATTTCACAGATATGATTTGCCATCATTGTTCACAATCTTCATTATTATTAAACATTATGAAGTTTATGATACGAATTTGTCAATATTTTATTTCTTTGAAAAATTTAATAAGTTGATAGAACTATATATTTTATTTTTATTACTATTATTTATTTAATATAAAAATTTAAGTATTTTAATGAATTTAGAGATACAGTAATTCTACACTTAAAAAATTATATTACAGCTGACAGATTCATTTACAGTATTCATAAAATTAATGAGACAAGATTTTAATTTATTTATAAAAACAAATTAATTTGTCCCATATTTAACTTGAACTAGTTAATGTTACATTCTGAGTATAGTCATATTCAATAGTTGGTATGACTGATTGTACAAACTTTAAAAATATAATAAGATACATGTGAACTCCTAATTCCCTACCACCTTCCATCACAGTTTCTATAATTTTTTTCATAACTTCAGCATGTCTATATCAAAAAATATATCTCATTAATAATATCACTTAAGACTATCACAATATAATTACAGAAAACTTATTATCTGAAATGAAAACTATACCTGCAAGGATGAACGGAAGCCATAGGTGGTCCTGGCATATGAGGATGAGTTTCCATTGTAACAGTTTTCTTTGCATGATCTTGACTAACATCTTCATACATTTCTTCCACAGTTAATGGTTTTCTATTCTATAAATAGAAATAAGAATAATATAAAAATCATAAGAATTATCAGAATAATATAATAATAATAAAAATCATCTTAAAAATTATCGTTCTAAAAAAAGCTCACTTCGTCATAACCAAAAAGCCATAGTCTTGGTGTTTGATAATACTTGTCATAAGTGATATGTAAATCGTAGGTTCTTGTTCTTATAATTTCACCTGCAGAAAATGATTCTTGATTTTCTTTAACTTTTTTTGATGTGTCCGTTGTATACTACAAACCCATATTTATAAAACTTTTATTTATTTACTAGAAGAAAGTAGTTTATAAAATGCGTTTCATATACAACAATGATACTTACTTTATCCTGTTCATCAAGCATACCGCTAACTTCAAAAGCTTCCATATCAGCTGCTTCTTCATCATCTTCATCATCTTCTATATCTTTATCAAAATTAACCACAGATGATCTAGTTTCTTCTAACGTCATTTCAGAAATTTTTTCATCCATCCCCTCTTGATTTATATCATAGTGATGAGTATCGACCCAACCACCTTCTGGATCATCAGCTTCAATAATTTGTTCATGCTCATCACAATATTCTATCTGCAAACAAATAATAAATGATTACATTGACTATAGAATATATAATAGGGGAAAATAATAATATAGATTTTACTTGTTTACATCTACGCGTGCAAGGAACATTGCGGGTAAGTAAAAACTGTTTGTCTTTTGGTAAATATGGTTTAGCTCTGTCTACATCCCCAACAGCCCATTGCCATGTTGGACAATGATGTACAAGATGCTCTCCAGCGGCAACAAACTCTTCTGGTGTTAAGACTCCAGTTTCCCTAAACTTGCTTTCCTGCGCATACAATAATTTGTCTCTAAATAATCAATACGCATTATAAATATTTATTAAATAGGAGTGCTTGACATTTAATATTTCATTATTCGAAAATATAAAAATTGTACAACATTAAAATATAATATATCTATAAAAACCTTTAAAACTGGGGTTAGATATTCAGCAAAGCTAAGAGCAGTGCCCTTTACAGAGTTTATAACACTCTGCATTATAATTTAACTCTAAATTAAGAACCACCTTGCAAATGAACTTTTTGCTTTCTAAATTTACACAATCCTAGCAATCCTTTTTTTTCTACTCCCGCGATCCGTATGAAAAATCTCCAAACGTGTATACAGCACTACACTGGTAGAGTAATTTTACATACGTAACAGCCTTAATTGATTCAATAGTTACACGAGTTATTTTGCTTATATCAACATCTTTGCAACACGCATGCGCTCGATAATTATTTAACAAGTTTTTCAAAATTCAAATCATCCAGTTAATAAAGAATTAAAAAATCATTAAGTCTAACGAAATCCTTAATGTATACACATATTCTACTGTTCATTCATCGTTTATTTATATATTTAGAATATTTATTTAAACATTCTTTTCATTTTTGATATCCTATAAGTATACTGTATATTTAAATAAAGTACATTGTTTGTATAAGGTTTACACAAAATGTAATAAAGTAAATAAATTAGTTAGTTGAATGTAAATTATAAATATAAATTAGTTGAATAATTATGTAAAATATATGCTTTTATTAAGAAATTATTAATTAATAATATTATTAAATAAATTATGATTTTATTTTATGATTTCAGTCTCTTCGCCGCTGGATCGTGTAACTTAAGGTCGTCATCAGTATCACGATAAATTCTAAATATAGCTTTTCTACAACGTCTCCCTTCTGTAAATTAAATTAAACAAGTAGATAAAAGAAAACATTTTATTAAGATTTGATAAAAAATGAAAAATAAATTACCTCCTTTTAGAAGGACTCGATGAGCCTGTTGAAGGATTGAGCATTTAGCTTTTACTTCATTCAATCCTAATAATCTAGCTCTAATTGCAATTAACAAAATTAAGGAAGCAACTACTATAATTTTATATTATATTTTATATTTTTATATAATAATGAGTTAAATCTAAGAAAAGGATACAAATTAATTATATCATATGGATTTCTAATAGAATAATGATTGTTGGCTCCACTCGAAATAATAACATTCTTAAAAGTCGAAGTAAAATTCATAATTATTAAAAATTTTTAATTGAGTTAGAATACAAATTTCATTTACCTTACTTTTTCCAAACGTATACAACAAATGTGAATGGTAAATAGCTAATTTACGAGTAGAAGTATTTATAACATCGGAATAATTTATTTCAAAATGAATACCCTTTTCTATTGCTTGAGAATATAATTTCCTACTTAGTTTTATATGAGAAGAAGTTGAATTTATTGTAATAATATCTACATTAAGTTGAGAACAGGCAAACTATAAACAAAATTAAGATAAATATATAACATAAAAACAATTGATTTAAACTTACCTGAAATGCTACTTGGCTTTTTGGAATAATGGCATATAAGTTATATTTATTTAAAATTGGCAACTGATTCTAAAAGTAATACAATTGACAAAAATTATTTGTAATATTTTGTGATAAAATTTTCACGCTTGAATATTAAATTATTGACAAACCAAAGAATGCGTTTTTATTGGGTCGGAGAAAGAAAAGGTTATTCTATGTAAAATATTTAGTTTTCCTTTAAATTCTTCAAGTAAATCATTAACATCTATTGGTTCAGGTATACATGGAATTACAGTGTCATTTTCATCAGTTTTTTTCTTCTTTTTTTTTTCGTTATGAAATACATTTTCATCAACATTTTGATTAAGTGCAACTGTGTTATAACCAACTGCATCATAAATAAAATATATTGACTAATATATTTAACTTGAAGATTTGTAAATTTTTTAATATTTAACTACAAAATTATTTACCGTTGTATAATTTTAATAGAGTTTCCCTCAAATTTCGTTTATTTGTCGATGCATGAACGCATAAATCGCAAAATCCATAATCCATTTCTTACTATTTTTACAAACGTAACCTATTAATCAATACATAAATATTTTGCTATTTACTTAAATTTACGGTAGAATTAAAATTGTTCTTTCTTAAAACAAAAAAAAAAACCAAAATAGCGAATTGTGATTTTGTTCGTTAAACGTTAAAAATATTTGAACTACACTTTTACTTTTAAAGGATAAGGAGCACAACTTAATTATTTATATATTGTATATGAATATATATTATATGTTACATGCGAGCTTACACATCCGTATGCTCAGAAGCAACATAATCAAATTGTATAAATTTTCATTCCTAAAATAAAATTACCGTAAATGCGAGGAAAGGCTATGTTGTTTCTTTTTCCAAAAATCGATACGTAATATAAATAAATTTTTAATGTTTATTTACGTTTACTTTGATTATATTTTTTTACAACAAAATGAACATTAAAAATTATAATCATCTTATTAGACAATATTTAAAATGACATGTTGGAATCATGTATGAATGTTTAAAATCGCTTAATTACAAACATAACTATTACTAAATTTTTTTTATAACATAAATATATAATATAAAAAAGATTAATATAAAATGATTATAATGAAAATAGAAGTCAACAAATAATCAATTTGTATAGTATAGTTAATTATTAGAATGACTTCATCTTAAACATTCTTAACATCGCATATACAGCAAAGTCAATATCTCATTAATTAGTGAAACTAATACATTTAATTAATATCTTTCAAATACTGTAAATTGAAAATATCTCCTGTATATATCTTAATATAAACCTGGAGGCAATAAAATAAACCATTTGGGAAAATAAAGCTCAGTTAGGCCCAATTCTGAATTTAATACTTATAATGATAATTCCATTTTGCAAAAGAAATAATTTATATACACTTTATAATTCCTTTAATGCTATAAATAATAACAGTACAACAACTTCCCATTTAGAATTTAGTATTAGTAGATAAAGCACACCTTGACAATGGCATTAAAGTATTTGTAAATACATTTTATAACGATCATACAAATGTTCATCTTTACTATTTACTTATTTATTATTAACCTATTTAATAATTGTTAGATACTACATTCTTTATGCATGATCTAATGTTATATACCTTTTCTTTTTTTTTTTTGGTTTATATAGAATAGCGATTACTTTCGCGATTATTTTTACAAAATGTGTTACATGTGAAAAATCGATTTTTCACAAAACGCTTAATCGGGCCTCATTATTTCATTTTTTGTTCCCGCCTTTATATTCTAAACATAATACACAAAGGAATGAAATAAACGTTTATTTACTTGATTTTGTAATTCTTTACCTAAAATCAAGCTGATTTTATAACATAGCATGGATGAATTATTCAATAATTAATCCATCAAGCAAACATGAATATTATAGTATATTATTTTTTCATCATGGCAAAATGAAAATTTAAACGTTATTATTCAATAAGATACACATTAATTCATATTCCTAGAATTTTTTTAATAAAAAAATTTAATCAATAATTTATTTAAATTACGAAGTCCGTTAAAAAATATCTATTTTTTTTATAAAGCAATTACATCATTCTTAATACTATATTTTAACAATAATTTTAAAAATTAATATCAATATATTAATAATCAAGATAATATACGATATAAATGTGCATTTATTTCATGCAATTATTTGCCAATCAAAAAAAACAATATCTAAATGATTTAGCGTTTAGGTAAATACTTTTCATCAAAGATCTAAACAAAACATAGCTTTTTTACTTTTATGTAAACCTTATATGCATTACAGGCATTCAGGGTTGTTCGTATACTGATAAATATTTGTTTTTTTACAAAAAATTACATGAAAATTAAATGGTATAGGATTTGTCAGTTTTTCATCTTTTGATATTTGAAACAAAAATCCGATTGATTTTCCACTATGAATATAAAACGTAAAATGTGTTTTAATAAAATTAAAAATATATATACATAAAAAATTATTCTAAACGAATTTACAATATTTTTTACTCATGCTTCTACTATTTATTGTAATTATTTTGAATCCTTTTCTTTTAAATACGAATAAGAAATCTGGAAAGTATGCAACAAAAGTATTATTAACTTTAATACAATTGTTAATAAAACATAAATCTTTGTCAGTATACAAAACCCCATTTAACGCATAAGAGGGTCTATATACAGATAAATAATAGCTTAACAAGAGCATGAGTCTTTTCCTCCTTGTTGAACGCTCAATACTCCTTGTAAATTGGTGCGACCGGGTTGACTTGGATTATGTTGTACTCCTGATTCTGCTGCATTTAAATCCAAACTGAAACGATAATTTAGACGATTATTCATTTTCAAATAATTACTTAATAATTATACTGTATTTATAGGATCCAAATCAATTTACCGGCCATCTTGTATACTTTGGTAGATTTTCTTTGCTGTTTCCAAAAAAGCTTCTTCAACATTGTCTCCACTAAAATAAAAATAACTAATATAATAAAAATATATCGTTTAACAATACTAGTTATATTTGTAAACATTTTTACATACGTTTTTGCACTAGCTTCTACAAACATCAGTCCATTTTCCTCAGCAAACTTTTTTGCTTCTTCATAAGTAACATCTCTTTGTCCTTCCAAATCACTTTTATTTCCAATCAAAAATATTACCTATGTTAAAAAAATTATTAGTACTTTAATTATAATTAATTTATTCTTAAACTTACAGTGCTTGGATTTGTAAGATTCCTTGTATCTGTCAACCAACTACTTAAATGATTATAAGTGGAACGTCGAGTTATATCATAAACCATGAGAGCTCCAGCTGCTCCACGATAATAAGACCTGCAGATTATAATAAAAAATTTAATCAAATTAAATTATTAATATTAATTAAAGTAAATGTTGCATTTAAAAATATATAAATATTTTAGTAAAATCAAAACTTATAATGTGTATATATATATCACTTAATTTTTTATTTTTGAAAATAATAAAATTTCAAATACATATTTAAAAAGCTTGTAAATATTATATAGTAATTTATTTATATAAATTTATATACATTTTTTTTAACAATATTACACTATTAAATTTTTAAAGAAATTCAATAATTATATTTAATTATTTTTTTATATTTTAATAAGAGAAATTGCTTTAGATTCAATATTAAAAAATATTCTTATATTCTATGAATAATATGCAAAGAAATAATATGAATCAGTTGTAGATAAATTAAGATATATAATTGTACATTATTTTAGATAAATTTTGACAAATAAAAATTTATTAATCCTAATTAAAAAAACAGACTTGTATTTTGTTTTATTACAAGAAATCATTAACAAAATTTTATTTAATTAATTACTCATAATAAACATTTAATTATCTTTTACTACTCCACCCACATGTATATATATATATATATATATATATATGTAAAGTAAAAATTATTACATTATTTTAATTTTATTTATTTTATTTGTTTAATTTTATTTATTTTTATTTATTACATTATTTTGTATTTACATTATATATTTCAAGTTTCTTTAAAAATTAATATTTTAATACTCTTTTAAAAAAGATTTATATAAATTTATATAAATAAATTTCTATATAATGTTCTGTATAAAATTTCTATATAAACCAAACTTTTTAATTTGTATCATATAATAAATGTTTTTATGTAAATGTACATTATTTTTATTGTTATCTATTAATTTTAAATTAAAAATATTTATTATTATAAAATATATATATATATAATCAACTTTGAACCAAGTAAAACTAACTCTATCATTCAGCTGATTAAGATAAAAATGCATAATATTCTACCTTTAGTATGATTTAATTATTTGCAGTTTGTCTTTAATAAATTTTTTAATTTGATTATATTAATACCTTGTTACTGCTCTAAACCGTTCCTGTCCAGCTGTATCCCATATCTGAAGTTTTATTTTTTGTCCAGCAACTTCAATGATTCTAGTTCCAAATTCTACACCAATTGTGTGAGGACAATCAGCCATAACTATAATATTAAATATGATTAATGAAACCCAATTAATAAAAATGATGTACAAGGTTTCTTATTTAATATTGATTTCCTTACACTTTTTTTCTGTAAATTGATGTAGCAAACATGATTTTCCTACTCCCATATCACCTATAATAATATACTTGAAAATATAAGAATAATTATAAGGTCCTGCCGACATCTTATACCTACAAAGAAAAAGTATTGCTATCAAATTCAGTATTTATATATAATAAAAAATATGATATTGTTTATAACAAAAAACAATAGACAACAATGAATCATTAATGAACTAGCGTTGAACTGATTAATTTAATCTTTAGCTACATGCAATTATTTTATGCACAATAAATACGAATTTATTATGACTATATATATATATATATATATATATATATATGCATATACTGTCTTTTTTTAGATATAACATTCACCTTTATGCAGTAAATTTCATTAGTTACTTAGTTATTACTAGAAACTTTTTGAAACTAAAATAATTTTAAGTAAATATTATTATTATAAATAAAAAAAAAATTTACGTATACAATTAAGAAAAAAATTCCGTATACAAAACATACAACACGAGTGTAAATAAAAAGCACTTGTGACTAAAGACAAAGACGAAATACCTTTATGATATTAAGATTACGCTACGATTCTATATTAAAAATGCGTAAGACGAACTTTATCACCAAACTAGTAAGAATTAAAAGGATAACATTGATATTACAATACTCGATGGCTCAGATACAACGAAGAAAACATTTCGAGAAATAAAGATATCGAGATTGAAAAAATAGCAAGCAACAGCAGGTAGTGGCTAACGAAGCCGACGTCACTAGCAACTAAAAGTACGTCTTAGCACTGTGTCCTTCTCAGATGAAAATCGTATGATAAATCACGTAACTGTAAAATCTGACGAGGACGCGCAAAAGATCGAGGGAGGAGACACGTAAGGAAGCTCACCTTTTCTGTGTGCCTATATGCAGTCGAAAAAAATCTACTCTCTCCTACAGATGTACATACACGCACATATACAATCGAGCGCACACGGGCGGACGTTCGACAAAATGTGTCCCCCGGGGGTTCGTGTGTCGGTATAAATTATCAGCCACTTAATCTGAGCAGTGGTTAAGCTCAAGCCTCACAATTTTCTTAGCAGAGGCTCATCAAAGTCACTCCCTTCCCAAATTCTCCGAGTACGCAATTCTCAAAACGATTCTCCGTAATCCCTCTGTGTGTATTCCATACACTCAATATGGCATACAAGGAGACGGTACACACTATTAGTGAGAGAGACGGAGAGAAAAAGTTGAGCGGCAGCGCGACGATGGTGGCGCGGCCAAATGTCAAACCACCTGTCAACTCTCGAACAACGCCTGTTCAGGTTGCCGAAGAAATTAATATAAGTCGAGTCATTTGTTTAGCAGGTATGCCGAACTCGAGGAGGCGATCATCCCCAAAATCATGTTTAAATTATAAATAGGAAGAATATCACAGTGCCACGTGGGAATGACAGAAAATCGTTATGGTACTTTTGGCCTTACGATATATGACTATCGACTTTTCTTGGACTTGCACAACTATTTGACGCGGGAAATTCTAATGTTTACAACACATGTGTCTTACATCTCTGTCTTTCTCGAATTATCACGTTAATAAATGTCGATAAAAAAAAAAAGCATAATTAGAAAAACTTGTTTGAAAGCAACGTGAAATTATTGGATTTAGAAAAAAAATAAAAATAAATAAAGAATAAAAACTTATGTACCAAAGCGTTAATTTCAATACCATGCAATACCGATATTTATATTGCGCTAGTGAATATCTAGATTACCAACTTCAAATTATAAAGCTTCTTTTGGATTATTATTATACAATTTAATAATAGCAGAATAGAAAATAAATGTCACTTCAAACTGTACATTTGTACAATTGCTTTTATTATTTATCATTCGGTAATAATTACCAGATTTTAATAAGCCCAATTACAGATTAGACTTTATACATTATTATCACTACTCAAATAATTATAATTCTTCGAAATACTAATACATTTTTCTGAATAAATAATTTTTTACACAGATATGTGTGTTATTACTTTTATTTCTTTTTAGTAACAATGATATTGCTTTCATTAATCATTTAATTTAAATTTTATTGAATATATTTTTCATAAATATTTAATTATTACATCGATTCAGTCTAAGAAGTCTCTTTTTAATTTTAAAATTAAGTTTTCATAGTCGAGCTATTGTTAAAACTTTTATGGATGACTTAATATTTCCTATCACAATCTAAAATTATGAATATCAAGCATATATATTCGGTAATACATAATTTAAATCGGTAAATAACAAGTGTATTTTTAATATTGAAATTTATTCATGGTTTATGTTATCGGATGATACTAAATTTAATCGATTGGTCATTAGTTGTATTCATTCTATTTAATTAAATTTTATTTAACTTTTATTTGCCGAAGTTACTCGAATATACAGAATTTAGTTAAAAATACTTTTCAAACAATATCTTATAAAGTAAGACCGTTTATTTTCATTGCAAATACATAATAACGTAACACTTGATATATAAAACCAACAGTTTCAACACAACTCACATTATATCACATTAATACATTGTATCTTTAAATTATAGTTATATATTTTATATAGTTATATAGTCGGTATTAATAATATTACTATTAAAAATTAAGATTTATCTTAATTTATCTTATATCTTTGATCAAAATGTCGAATGCACATATTGTTGATAAAATGCAGGGATTTTTATATGATAATTATGATTATTTAATTAACCAGAAATAGTATCTTTGTGCAATAAGAATTATATTATAATTTTGTACAGTGTTTGAAGCATTAGTTTATGGCAAAATTCTATTAAAGTATTTAAAAAGAATAAACATTAAAGTTTGAACAGTAATATATTATTTAATATATATTTAAATCAATAACAAATATAAAACAAAATTAATTATTGATAGAAAATTATGTTATTTAGTTATTCTTCCAGTTGAAAAATAAGTAATTTGTAGATTTTATCTTTGTCAATTAGTTAAGATTTAAAGTGTTTTATTTAAATATAAAATATTTGGAATGTATATATAATATTAAATGTATATAACAGTAAATGTATTGTGTATTGATTACTATTTATAATAAAACACGAAATCCTAAAAGTAATTGAAAACAAATTCTACACTTCTTGTTATACTTTGGAAATAATAATAATAAATCCCGCATCATTTGTATCTTAACATCAATATGTATATTATTATATTCTTAAGTATAGCGAAAGACAGAGATGTGAAATCACCAATCACTAAAAAAAAACCTACAAATATGACAATTAAAGTTTTTAATATAAAGCCAGTAGTTTTAGCAATATATCGGCTTTAAAGTTACGAAGTTAATGACCGTAATATGAAATTACTCGTTTTCTTAAGTATATATATATATATATATATATATATATATACATATACAAGTCAGTTATTCATACTTGTTTATAATCGATTCGGTAAATTATTACGATCGGCTATTAAAATACCGTATTCCATGCGAATTGAAATGTTTCGATGGCACGGCTTTTCTCTAGAAACAAGGACAAGTTTTACGGAAGTGAATGATTGAGAAGCGCCGAGTGCGCGAATGCGAGTAGGAAAGCCTTAATACACAGACAAGCTGATTACCGAGTACCGATTATAATCCATTGATAATCGACGGCTCTTTTTTCATTTAATCCGAGTGTTTCGTATGCCGCGCGTGTCATCGACGAATCAATGAAAATTGTCGTCTACGCATGCGCCAGCTTTCCCAAGTGCCGGGGCCCCGGAATCCGTAGGAGAAATATGCATTGCCGTTGAGACTGTGCCGTAGAGTATACCGTATAGCAAGGATTATAGCACTTGGGCAGGAAAGATGGCCGAGTAGTAGGAGCTTCCCCAATCCCCGGTACCGCTTCGTTGGTTCGCGTCGGCGTGTTAGTGCGTTCGTAGGCACATTTGTACGCACACAAATGTAAGAACTCTCCTAACGGCTCAGTTACTCCACTCCGCACGAACGAGGTGAACGTCATTTCCGCTTATCTCTGGGGACGCACAATGGAAGGAAACGAGTTGCCCGAGTGCAGATCACCCTGGAATCAGTATTTGTAAACCTGTCATTAGGCGAGGATGTATTGTGGTCGTAGTCGAGCCAAGTTACTCCGGACGCGATAAAGTTAAACTCGCGCGCTAATCGAGCGTCCAAACGAGTAAGTTTTCGCGAAAAGTAACCGACAAGATAAAAAGAGCTCGCGATTGAAGAAGAGTTTCTTGTGTTGCGCGAGTGCAAGTGCTCTTTTAGAAAGGAAAGATTTATCCTCAAGACGGAAGACGGATGTGCACTTCTTGGCAGTTTATGCTGGCTAGAAAAAGGTAAAGAAAACAGCAAATTTCCAGTGTTTTGCTCTGTCCTGTTGTATGTAGAGTGCTTGCCTCTATATGTGAGAACGGGTATGTGGTGCGTGCGAACGAATGTGCACGTCCAACTCGCGCGCGCGCGTGTGTGTGCATGCAGTTATACGAGGTAGTTGCGAGCAAGTACCACCATGTACATTTTTGCAGTGGCGAGCTCGAGAGAGAGAGAGAGAGAGAGTGAGATAGAGTGAGAGAGCGAGTAAGTGAGTGAGGGCGAGAGGGTGGGAGCGAGTGCGGCTGGGAGGATAGGAGGGTAGGAGAGAGAGAGAGAGAGAGAGAGAGAGAGAGAGAGAGACGCAAATACTTACTTGCTATACGATTTAAACATATGAAAACATTGAATTTACATTAAAGATAAAAATATATGAACACTTACATGTATCGACGAAACTTTCTACGCATGTTATACTAACGATAAGATGAGGAAGAGAGAGAGGGAGCGAAAGGTTAGGTTGGTGTCAGGATGAGAGTAGGGAAAAAAACGACAAATGTAAAAGGCGAGAGAATTCGGAAATCCCGGCGAGGGTATAGCGTACGCTCGCGTCGCCGGCTCGGACTCGCCGTAATCGATAAATTTTGGAGTTTTATCGCCGCGGTGCGTGTATGTCCCTGCGCGCTCTCCTTCCCGTGTGGCTTGAGGAAGCGAATACATAAGCAGGCAGAGAAAAAGAGAGGGCAAGAGCGAGCGATCGAATGAAAGAGGAAGGGAGGGAGGAAGAAACGAAGAAATGAGAAAACCGAACGGTCATGTGTCAACGTAACCTGCGTCGGCGGCATCGGCACGGTCGAGCTTAGGAGCAGCAGCAGCAGCAGCAGCAACGCCGCCTCTTCAGTAATTAACCAAACAAAATGGACACCGAGATAACAATTGAGCGAAAACCCGTCTGATTGTTTCGCATAAAAAAGGATCGACGCTCTCTCAAAAAGTGACTCACCCAGCCATCGCTCCATTTACACTTGCCGCACATTTTCCGTACAACGAGGTGATGTTTTTCTTGATTTTTTAAAATAAAAAAAAAAAAAGAACTATTACGAGAGGAGGGGGAAGCCAAGAAAACGGAAAAGAATAATTAATATACGATGAAATCTGACCACTGCCCCGTACATCGATCATCCGGGCGATTGGTCTCGCGACTTTTTCGCCCTTTTATCCCTTTCTTCCTAGATCGCAGGAGGTCGATCGAATTGCTTCTCTTTTACGGCAAATGCTAAACTCAACGAAGTGTCTTATATTTTTCATCGAACGGGGTCAGGTGTTGTGTATTGTATCTGCGTGTGCATAAATGTGTGTATGAGGTAGCGGCAGCGGTGGTGGTGGCTTGGCGAAGGGGAAGGGGAGGGGGATAGCTCTTTCGTTTCGAGCGCTCCTCCCGCACACATGAGTTTCGTTTCTCTTTCTTGGGTGAAACCGTTCCTTTTTTTCGGAGCAGCTTCCGCGTTCTCGATCGCTCTCGGGGAACGCTCGGCTTTTTGAAACGGTCTTTGGAAAGTAACCTACTATCTTCCGAGAAGTGAACGGACAAGTAGCAAAAATTTGTCTCGATTTAGATAATCGATGACAATTCCCAGTACATATGAATTTATCAACTTCTCGACGCGATGGATTCTTTATCTACCGAGAATTGTCCTTAAACATTTGCGTTACTTTCGTTGCGGTGTTACCGAAATAGATTCCAACCGCGAACCACGTCCCTATAAAACGCAGAAGCGTATCGAGCAGATTAAAGAGAAATATCAAATTTGAGCAATGCTGCATAGAGAATAGCCTGCTTGTCTTGGCTCCACATTGCAATAAACTGACTTCCAAGAAATCATAAAAGTATTTATTAGTATCTTGAATGATTGTGTAATGTTACAATTACTTGTTAATTGCATAAGTAATTTAAACGTGGAGCAGCAATATTTTTCATCCATTTTCGTGCATACAATTTATAATCAAAACTATTCAAGAACCTAGATACTGCGTTCTTATGTTTATAATTATTTCAATGCGAAACAAGATTCCGAGTTACTTTATTAATTGCTTTACGAAATGCTTTATATCTTATCTTCATCCAAATTCCATGAAATTTTATTGAAATATATATACATAAATTTTATGAAATTTTATAAAAATGCGATATTATGTTTAAAACGATTATTAGCCATTATACCATGATAAACGGTTGCGACATAAATTTGCAGACATAAATAACCATAGTAAACAAAAACAAAAAGCAAATAAATAAACTTAGACATTCATAAGTGACGTTGTCGCGTTATTTTTGTGATTGAACATTTGAAATAACCGACATTATATATACAATGTATGAAGTAAACGATAAGTAGGTAAATTGTAACCGATGGGGGAGAGCAATTTTTAACCGTTAGTGCGGTGATGGCTTGTGGGAGGGAAGGAGGGACAGAGAGAGAGAGAGAGAGAGAGAGAGAGGCGCGCGAAGCAGAGCCGGAGGATTGAAGTGGAAAAAGAGAATATTTGTGAAAAGGGAACGGAAGAGAATATCCAAGCCCGAGTATGTATTAAAAATGGCAAAAATACTTTGTGTATAAGTTGGCGTAATCTTTTTTTCTTCTTCTTTTTTCTCTCTCGTCCAAGCGAGAAGAGATATCAGTTGGGCAGCCTACACGTCCTCGCTACCTTACCTTTCATTCGCAGCACTCGCATAATACGTTGTGTAGGTATACGCGAGTGCAAGGGGCTTGTGTACTCGAAGAATCGCAGGATACGATTGGTTAATCAAGTATCCTGGCACTCGTGCCGCTGTATAAGGTAAAATCTGATTGGCTCTCTTTTCCGGTGTAATTTCGGCTCCGCCTCGCTATTACCAATTGCTTGTTCCGTCTTTAGTCGCGAGCGTGCTTAATACTTTACTTTATAAATGCGAGATATGTGCGTATGGGGAGACATTGTCGCAAGCGAACGCGCGACTTTGGTGTAGCGCCGCCGTTTTAAAATTCGCACTTAACGCGTACATGCACTCGCGCATTTGAGGTAGCACGCGTGTGCAGCGAGGCGCATTTGCCGGTATTTTACTTGTGCATCTCACCTTGCTCCTTGGTCAGCCTCAAAATGTGAATCCATGTAATTATAAAAGAACTGCTGTCGGGGGAAGAAGTGGGAAGTAATAAAATAATAAAATTTGTAGCACAACTAAATTTTTATTTCCAAGTATATTGTCGTTATTTATTAAACTTATACTTTAAGCTTTGTTTTTACTGTTTTTATCGTGCCACTAGAGAATATACTAGCGAGGGGGTGGAAGAGAGAGAGAGAGAGAGAGAGACAGAGAAGTTATCAACGCCTTAATAGATATACTCTTACTGGGAAAATGTTTATGGGAATAATTGTATGTGATAATAGTTGTAAGAAGTACGTATATTTGAGTTAGTCAATTTTTTTTACTGGAGTTTGAAATTTGCTAGTTTATAAATATTATCTCTAAAATAGTAATAATTATTGCATTTATTAAATGTATCATAATCAATTGTCAAGTCGTATAAAAATATGACGTATACATTTTAGGAATAAATTTAAGAGTCTTTAAGGATCTTTAGAAGTGCTCCAGTTTAAATTCATAAATGAAAGACTGACTTTTTAACGTTCGAAAAAATGTATGTAAAGCAGCGGTAAATTTCAAACGATTTATTTTTTCTTAACTCAATTGTCCATTGTTGTATCAACCAAGAGTAGCACAGTAACAATCGACTGAAGTCTAGTATGTTGACCTAAATAAGTTTTAGGACACAATCAAAATAATATTCAGGCTCGTTTAAAATCCAAATGCTGCTCCATTACTATGATTAGTTACGATCTATCATTGTATAAAGATTCAAGTGTTTAAATACTGTGGCAGATTTCATTGAGGAAAAATTTCTCGCGCATTTAGTGCTAAAAAAGTAGCCCGATTCCTTAATTTTCTAGGCATGTTTGAGTTTTTCGATAAAATTTTCATAGTCAATGTCAAGAACGTCTTGATAATAACATACTCGGACGATTCGTCGCTCTTCACGGATATACACCGAGATATCTGGCGTTTGCTCAGAAAAGTTCGGAAATTGGAGTGTAGGTGAACTGAATAATGTTTTAAAGAGTTCGTGACTCGACTCGGCAGATTTGTTCTCCTCTCTTTTGGTCTTTTTGGTGCTGCTGCAGCAGTAGCACGCACGCATGCACGCACGCGCGCTCGCGCTCACACGCGCAAATGTGTGTGGGCTCGAGTAGCTTGCGCGACTCGCGATTATGTCATCTTTTGTTTTATTTCTATTGGGCATTCTTGAAAGTTAGCTCGTATGCGAATTCGCACACCGCAATTACATGGCGCACACGAATGCGAGTATGTATGTACACATGTACACATGTATGCACGTGTAAGCTGATGAAATCACAAGAATACAAGCGTGGAACGAGAGAGAGAGAGAGAGAGAGAGAGAAAGATACGGAAGGTCAGACATCGGTGTCCGCGCATTTCCTACGATATTCTAGAATGTTCCTCTTACTTCTTTCGCTCCTCCGTAGGGCGTTTCGGTGCCAGGTGCTTTGTGTTTTGTTTCATCGCAACTGAAACCCTAAACCTTTCTCTTCACTCCCCTTCTCTTTTCTTACTCTTCTTATTGCAACTTATCGTCTTTAAAATAAAGCTACACTCTACTTTTACTATACGCGAATCTTTTAATATCATATCTTTGGGAATTTAACTTGGATCATCGGTTGTTTACATTCTGTATGATAAATTTTACGTTATATGTTTGTTTCTCAAGCATTTAATAAATGTTATTTTATTTCTTGATGTTATTGTTATTGTCGTTGTCAACATTGCTATTATTGTTATTATTGTCATTGATCTTTAGCGTTGCTTATTAGAGTCTTTTAAACCTTGAATTCTTTGTAGTATCTTAAAAGGTTTACTAATCACTGTGTGGCGTCTTATTCTCGAAACCCAAAATAAATTAATCTTTAAGCGGTCGCGTGCAGCCTATAAGCTTCCAAGTCATTAATCACAATTTTAAGGTTTCAGTTTAACAATAAGTTTGAAAATATAATTATTGCATAAAACGAAAAAATGACGTCTCGAATTAACGAATCGATTTCTCGAACAGCTTTCAGCATTGTACAGGCACTACTGGCGCATCATTGCATACAAGATGACGAAACTCTGGTGCGTTGATCCTTGATAGCTTTGGAACGAAGATTAAAAGGCTAAAAAAACGCGAGGCAAAGGATGACAGGTGTTTGGTCAAGTCCAACATTTTTTGAGCATTATACAAACGCTGCATATTTTAAATGCAGTTATTTATTTTCCTAGCCATCATGTAATCCTTATCTCATATTTATTCAGATATTGGCTAATATAGGAGAGTGAATGAGAAAGAGAGAGAGAGAGAGAGAGAGAGAGAGAGAGCAGCGGGTGGAAGAATGATTGGTAGATGGAGAGTATCGACGAAGCAGAGAAAAAAAAGGGAGAAAAATGAGCAGCTGTCACGAAAATGTTTATAATTGCGAGTGGCTGTCGCAGCCGAAAATAAGCATCGATCGGCGCTTCCATGCGCGCGACGCGAATCGTCGTTGCTCGGTGCATCTAGATAAAAATGCTTTAAAAAAGGGCAAATAAATAAACGTAATACAAAGAGTCGCGGGTGGAAGTGGGGCGAAATGGGGCGGCGTGCGGCGGACGGTGGGCGGTGGGCGACTGGCGGCCGGAGGGGAAGGAACTCGGGGGCTTACGGCCTTTCGGCATCGGCAATTTCTCGCGCTTCTCCTGTGTGGCGCGTGCGGGCATGCACACACGCACACGCCGTATGCACGTACGTGTCGGCACATCCACAGGCAAAGGCCGAACGAACGGCTTCCAGGCGCGCATATTCGTACGAGAAACGATCGCGCGAGATAAAATGACGACTAGAGCGAAGCATCGCGGCCGAGGCGAACGAAGAGGAGAGTAGTAGTTCGTACGTGCGTGTAGCGCGCGTTCGCTGATATTTCGCCATGGCGTCTCTCTACACTTCTCTCCCTTGTTCTCGTTTTGTCGTGGTGGCATCGGAAAACGAGTAAATGTATATATGTATAAGCGCGACGAGATGCCGATGTGAAAGAGCGCGCGCCACGGCGTCGCTCATCTCTCTCTCTCTCTTCTCCGCCGCCCCCTCCCTGCCTTCTTCCCATGAACGCGCGTGTACGTATGTATGCGTGTATCTGTCCGTCTCCATCACTCCCACTTGGTCGAGCGTCCATCCGGTTCCTCCTGGCGTACCTCTGCCCTTTGTCAATCTTTGGGATAATCGCGATACGCGGCTGGCTCCCCTCCCCTATTATATATGTGTACATGTAGCATGCGCTTAGGCGAAAGGAGAACGTCCGTGCAAGCGAATTGGGTGTAGTGTCGGTCCGTGAACTGGTAGTAGCAGCAATAGTCGTTGTAATAGCATTAGGTGGGTAGTACAACTAGTCTAGTAGTAGAATTAGTAGTGATAGTAGTGTTAGCGATAGCAGCGGCGTTAATAGTAGTAGTAATAGTAGTATATTCGAAGCTCAAAAAGTTCACTACGGCACCCATATCCCGACCGCGAATAATAGCGGTCGCGGATGCCTTCCGTACGCAGTACGGATGCCCGTAGCACGTAACTCTGCACTCCTTTGAGACGGGGACGGAGGAGTTCCTCTTCGAGGAGGGCTGCCGCCTATTGCTTTCCCCCCGTCTCACTCCGCTCCGCTTCCCTTTCCCCTCGTCATCTCATCCCACCTCTCGCTCTCTTCCGTATAACCGGCATATGCGAACACACATACGTGTGTATTCGCGTATGTGCACGTGTACCCAGCAGGTCGTGCATATCCCGTTGATTGTGTAGCCGTCGCCGCTGCCGTCGGCCTCCTCTTCGTCATCGTCTTCGTCCTCCTCCTCGTTATCGTCATCATCGTCGTCATCGTCGGGGGAGTCGTCGTTGTCATCGTCGTCGCACCCGTCGCGTCGGGCGAGTAGCAGTCGAACCTAACTGTGTATGAGTGCGTACGATGCTGACGCATGTGAATACGAATGTACATATGCACGAGCTTGAGGATCATGGTGGGGGAGCTCGGCCGCTCCGGGTATAAAAAAGACAGAAAAGAGCGGCTAAAGAGGGAGAGAGAGGAGGAAAGGCGTGCGCGCGTTTCGGAGCTGGGCCAGGAGAGGGAGAGAGAAGCGAGAAAAGAGAAAGCCGCGGCTCTCGGTGAGACAGAGCGCGGGAAAAGGGTGGTGTGAGTGGTCGCTCGCGCGCGTCATGTATATATAAAAAGGGAAAAGAGAGAAACAGCTGTAGAAAAACGAGATGTGTGGATGAGAAAAGGAGAGAGCCGTGTAGGAGAGCAACAGAGATGCGCGTGGAATGATTCGGACCACGCTTGCACCTCGCTGCCGATCCTCTCTCCTTCTTTCTCGTTCTCTCCACTTCTCTTGGTTGCCGCTACCCGCTCTTTCGCGTGCGGCTACCAGAAGGTGGCTTGCTCGGCCAACCACGAGAGAGGAAGGGAGCGAGCGATGGAACGAGAGGGGCGGAAGGGAGAGGGAGAGAGACAGACAGAGGTTAGCGGGCTCAGGAACTAGGAAGAGTCGAATAGCGCGGAACAGAAAGAGGTGGAGGAGGAGGAGGAAGAGGAGGAGGTGATCGTTCTGTCTTCTCTTTTTCCTCTTTCTCGCGTCCGTTTGGAAAACGCAGAGCGCGTACTCACGTACACTTGGGAGCACGACGGCAACTAACCGTCGTCTAGTGTGAGCGACAGCGATAGTATACGCGAGGATACACCGTACAGGCGGCCGTGGCCGGCCCGGTCGCAGGATACGCAGCCAGGCGGCGCAAAGAACGGGAGGAGAGGCGGTGGTGGCGTTGACGGTGGCGGTAACGGCGGTGACGACGACGACCGTGACGACCGCGACGACCGCGACGACCGCGACGACGACGACGGACGCACACCACGACCTTCGTTGAATCGCGGGGCTGCTGTCGAACAGTGACGAGGACGAGGCGAACGCCGCATATCGAGCGTTGCACGATCGCGAGCGAGCCCTCACGCGCGCGCCCGCGTGTATATATATATATATATATATGCATGCATGGGTGTGTGCGTGTGTACTCGCGCGCGGGTTCGTAGTGTACGAGGCGCGGGCGCTCGCATGTGTTGGGTCGTACTCGCGCGTGTGTCGTGGGGCCAAGGCGCGATAATGGCGTAGGGCCACCGTTCACTGTTGTGTCCTCCCGTCGTCGAGCGCGTCGCCCTCCGTGACTCGGGTGCGCGCGCGCGACTCTTCACCCTCGCTCCCTCGTCCTGCTCCGATCGGCGCTCGACATCTCTCCCTCTTGCGATATCTCTTCTCTCTCTCTCTTTGTCTCTCCCTTCCTCCCTCCCTCTTTTGCTTTCTAATCCCATGCTGGCTCCTCAACGCCACCGCAAGGACGGCCGCCGGACGCGACGATGAGCTCCACCACGAGGAGGAGGGATTCCAGCGTACATGAGTAAGACTTCCATTCTGCTTGAATTTAAAAATGGTTATTCCGTTAATTGCGATATCTGTCTCGCGCGGGTAGAGGGGCGAGCGATTGCTGCCCTTCCCGGTTTGCCCCCTCCGTATGGAAAAGCAGCAGGAGGAAGCCGAGGAAGAACTGCCTCGAGTCGTGCTCGTAATTACGTCAGGCGTCGTCGTGCAGCCCGTCTTTTTTCGAGTAGCAGCCGTGTCTCTTGAAGTTACTTATATGCTTTTTCGATTCCCCTTCTATTCCTCCTCGCTTAGTCTTCTTTATTATCTTTCCGCTATCTCGGCCTCACTCCATCTCCGATTCTCTCTCTCTCTCTCCCTCTCCCTCTCCGTCTCTCCGTCACACACAACCACAGAGAATCATGAACGTTCTCTTG